GTTGCCAGTGCGGTATTTTCCTTCGGACTCGGTTGGTAAATAGCCTATCAGAACAGCGGTTGTTTTAGAGGGGCTACCTGTCTCGAGAGTTAATTGTTCCCCCTTTCCTGGATAGCTCAGGAGTCCCCTTTCACCATAACAAAAGTAGCTGTGTCAGAGGCTGCAAAGACATCCACTCTCAGGTTCTACACCAAGGACGGTCATTTCCCCATCCGTATTACGAGAAGACGGGTCTACCTCTCTTCATATCTTTCAGGTCTGAAGTAGTTTGGCAATCAACCGTTTCAATATCAGAGGACATTCAACCGACTCCCTCGGCCAGCACTTGTATCTTGGATATGGAGATGTTAGTATTTTTGGCCGTTGGGTCTCAGACAGTCATCTTCTGTCTGACAACTGGGGCGTCAACCATCAATACACTGGTGTCCATTTCGAGACTACTGCCGGTGCTGAAGAGGTGGATGGGCACAATTGGAATGAGGATTCAATGCCGATTACTCGTTCACGCTGGAGATGCATGGCGAGAGCGATGTCACAGGCCACGAGAACGTGGTCAGCTACATCAGTCCTGTCATGCGGGCATCTAGATACTGCGAGGATTCCAAGATGATCAGCACGCGGCCGAACTCCTTTTCTCTATTGTTCTGTAGGTCTCATACATCTGATACTACTTCGTAGACGAAGAGTTTTAGCAGCACCCGTGCCCGTTTAGTCTTTCAATCAACTAGTGACAGCAGCACCCAGGAGTATGGTCAACACAGACTGAGTATTGCTCATCATAGGCGGAACTTTGACGAAACTTGAGGACCAGTGCCAAAACAAACCGGGTCACTAATCGAGGAGGCAAGGCTTGGACGTGGGTGAAGGGCTAGTTCGTCACTATAAGCCGAGACAGATGAGACAAATGTGGCAGAGCAACACGGTTCACCTCCAAGGGCGAAACTGCCCGGAACTCTCCTGCACAACAAACTCCTCCACTGAGATGAGATCCATTTAGAGAGAGACTAACTACATGTTGGGCTTTTGTTGCATCTACTAGGGTCCGCCACGATATTAGTGGCTTATTGGAGGCTATAGTCTTGTCATGTCAGTATTATCTCTTGCCAGCAGCGCTTCTTAGAATGTCTCCATATAGGGCTAGGGTATTTTGGCACTTATTTGATGATGCTTATTTCCCTAGTTCTCCTTGTATGGATGTCATGAAACTTCCTAGTTGCTCATACAACTAGATGGGACACGGATCCTACTCCAGGTGGCTTAGTTATCACAGCGGAGCGCCCGCCAGACTTCCTCAACATGACAACATATTGTGTCATTGGCCCGGCTTCCTGACCTCGTCCTTCTTCGTATGTGACAATGAAGGCCCGCCAATGAGTGGCTCGGACAACATGGAATTCTCCGCACTCATATCGGCTGGCTAAATAACGTCGGAGTCAACCCATCTGATCTTGAGGCCACAGTAGCAAGATGCTGATTACTGTGGCAGCATCTGGCCTTCACGTGCTACTGGTCATGCCAAGATACGCAATCTTCTCAGTCAAGAGCCTAGCTGCCTATGGTGAGACCCATTGCTGCCCCCCTTCCCTTGATCTATCAGGTGTTAAGTGGCGACAATGCCAGAAAGCAAAAGGCCAGAAACGAGGCTCTGAAGACGAGGCTCACCTGTTCACCACTCTAGCAGGTCGAGCGTGGTGATCAGTTCATACACCGTATGTCTAAATGGATGAGTGCCTCCCACGCCGTTGATCACTGACCACCCACCCTACACTCCAGTGCCGCCTAACATTTGGCGTGTCCCTTTGGACAAGTGAAGCTACATTCTGCCTTACTTCTTCTCTTCTCTACCTTCCCTACATTCTTCTCCTCTTTATTTGTTCTTCTCGGGCGTTTTCTTGTTCTCGTGTTGGCATTCTAACCGAAACGCGATAATGGTACCGTGAGTCCGCTCATTGCAAGATGTGGCGCATGTGGCTAGTGGGCTAGCCATCTCAGCCAATCAGGGCGCCGGCGAGAGTTAGGGTTAGGGTTTCTTCAGAGTAATTTCCTTATTTATAATAATAACTTCTAGTAATTAAATATAAAGGGATAGGTAGAGATCTTTAAGTTACTTATAGAGCTAAAAGAAGCCCTTTTTATACTTATTATTAATAAAGCTAAAGCTGAAATTTATAACTAATAGCTAATTTATAACCCTAATAGCCTAGAATAGATATATATTAAAGTAATTACTCTTATATATATTATCTATACCTAAGACCTTAGGAAATATCTTTTATATCTTTTTATATTAAGGATAAATCTAAAAGATTATATCTATCTTATAATATATATTATAATAAACCTAGAAATTAAGGTTATAATATATTAGGTACTTAATCTATGCCTATATAGCTATTAAGCTACCTAGGGCTTTTTTCTATAATAATTAATAATTATTATATATATCTATTTATATAAAATATAAAGGTAAAGATAATAACCCTCTTAGGATATTATTAACCTTATAAGGAAGAAGAGTTTATACTTTTATAAGGGATTTATAGAGGTCTCGCTAAGTAATAGTCTTTTAGTAATATATAATATAAGTAGAGGGATAAAGGGAGGGAAAGTAATTATATTAATAATATTAAACTTTATAAGACTAAATATTATTTATTTTTTATAAGGTTTTAGCTATAATTATAAATTAATAATTAATCTTTTTAATTAAAGTATATTAAATATTAGCTCCTTGGGCCATATAAAGTTTACCATAATTATAAATAAGTATAATATATATATATATAAGTATATTATTAATTATTTATTTAGGCCTATATTTTCTCTTAGTAATTATGCCTTTATTTTCACGAAAGAAATCCTATAAGAATATAAATAGGTCCTTAAATAATAAGAATAATAATAGAGAATATAAATTAAGGATCTAAAGGTTATTAGGTATATTTTCTTTAGTTTTTTTAAAAAAAGAAAAGAATTTATTATTAGGAATAAAAGAGAATTATATAGAATTAGTAATATTATTAAGTTTTTTATTATTAAGAGTATAATTAAGTAAGAACTTACTTATTATAAGGATAATAAAGGTATAAGCTATAATATTAAAAAGTTAAAGTTAAGGCTTATACTTATTTTATAGGAGATAGGCTAAGTAAAGTAAGCTAGAAAAATATTATTATAGGCGAAAAGTAGGGCTTATTAATTATCTTTTAATACCGCTATATAGGTTATTAGTTTATATAGTAATAGTTATTAGTCCTAATAATAATACTTATTATATTAAATTAGCTATCTTAGCTATTAAGGTATTTCTTATAGTTTTAAAGTACTTAAAAGTATTTAAGGCACTTAGGCGCTTTATATAATATTATTAATTATTAGAGCTATATAAGCTCTTAACCCTTATAAGCCTAAGGCTTAAGAATTATACCTTTATTATAGCTATAAGGAGTAATATAAGCTAAGTTAATAGCCTATTAGAGCTAATTATAATATTTATAACAAGAGGATATTCCTAAGGGATAAACTAGTTATATTAGGTTTATATTAATAGAAGAGAATATTATATAACCTTAAAGGGTAATATAAATTATATTTAGTAATATACTTAAAGGTATTAAATATGACTAAGTTATATTAATAGCTAAGATAGCTAATATATATAAAAGTATAATAAGCATATCTTATATATTATTTAGTCTTTTAAGTTAAATATTATTAAATTAAGTTAAATTAATAATATTTAATTTATATAATTAAGAGAAATTAAATTAACTTTATTTAATTTATATATCTTCCTCCCTTATAATTAGCTAATAAAGTAAGGTTAATTTCTTACCTAATATTATCGCCTCTAATTATATTATAGCTATAATATAAGGCTCCCTCTTTATTAATTTTATCCTTAAGGCTAACTTTAAAGACTAAATATCGCTATAAATAACTTAGACTTATAATTATTCCTTTTATTAATATAATATTAAGTTATATTAAAAAATTATCTTTTTATTTAAAACTTATTATTATATACTATAATAACCTTTCTTATTTAATTAATAAATTTAATTTTAAGATACCTCGGTATTTTATATATTTTTATATTAACTATTATCTATATATAATAGCTAAAAGAAAATAATATTGTAACTTTTATATTAAGAAAAAATATATAAATTATAATTTTAATAGTATTTCTTTATAGACTTATAGGTTAATATTTTCCTTAGGGGTAGGTATATATTAATATATTTTAATAACTTATATTTCCTAGGAGAAAGATTACCTTAAAGAATAAAAAGAGAAAGCTAAGATAGACCTTTTAGAGGCCTTATTTTATTTATAATAGCTTTATTATTAAGAGAAATATCTTTATAAGAAGGCTATTAAGATAATTTATTATAATTATAAGGATTTAAATAAATTAAATAAGGTAAAATATCGCAATAAAGAAGCTTATTATAATTCTAAGGCTTATATTTTATTTAAGGTTTAATTACTAGAGGATTATAAGGTTATTAATTAAGGTGCTATTCTTAAGTCTATTTTATTTTTATTTAGTATTATTAATAGAAGTTTTTTAAAAGGTATTATATATTAATAAGGTATTCTAGGAATTCCTAGGTATTTTTTAAGTTAAGGTAATCCTTTTATTTAATAAAATATATTATCTTATTATTAATCTTATTTATATTAAAGATAACTTTTATTATATATTCTTTTAGTCTATTAATTTCTATATTAGGCTTATTATTTATTTTTACTTAGATAATATCTTATATTAATTTAAGTAATAAGATATAAAAGATTAAATAGAGCTTAACCTTAGGTAATAAGTCTAATTTATAACTATACGCCCCCTGTAAACTCCCTGTAAAATCTGCTGTGTTTGACGGCGAACCGAAAACATTATTAAATAGTTTCCATCGGTTGTCATATAAATGTAGAGCGTATGCCTCAACTAGTTACGGCGCAGACGAATGGCATGCGGCAGGTACCTAGTCACCATGAGGAACTCAGGCAGACTTCCATGTCGCGGCCGCCCCAACTGCGCGTGTGGACAGTGCAGGCGTGAGTAGGTACCTATTGAATTGGGTCTCGTCCACTAAACTTTAGTGAATCGCGCTATAACTACGGCGCCCACGTCCCCGGCAACCGTCAAGTTCCCATGGATCCCACCATTTGCTCAGCCGCAAACGACCGTCCATGTCAAATAAGATTGTGTTTAAATGTGTTGGAATCTGGGAGTCCGATTAAGAGGCCGTTCGTTTGACGTTAAAATCCTCTCGATATATATCTTAAGTCACTCAGATCCCTTCTTTCTGGTGCAAGATGTGAGATGCCATGCAAGGCCGTTGAGCATTCTTAACCCCGGGACTCATCAGGCTGGCGCGAGATCACCAAGGGAAAGAACAGGTACCCTGGAAGATCTGGGCGGAACAAACTACTTGGGTGGTGGGTATATGCGCATGAACGGACTCGACACAGTCATGGAAGAATCCACGGGTCTTGGGGCGGCCCCAGAAAGCATGGTAGGAGTTCAAGATACTACAAACAACAGGGAAAATGTCTGTAAGGAGTAACGTCTCAGGGTTAGACAGTGCCCTTAGTGCTATTCACATATTCAGGAGTCAACCCGGCAAGTTAGGTGTCGACTGAGACGAAGATGTCCAGTATCGACATCCGAGAGGATCCTGAGCTGCCCAACGGAGTTCGGGCACAGTGAGTCTTGCATGGAACGTCTGAGACATTACTCAAGGCGTCAGAGGAAGGGTTGAGGAGAAGATCCGGTTTGTCATGATATGTTGGAGTGACGATGATGTTAATAGGAGGACCCCGGAATGTAGGGTTCGTCGAGCAACACGTTGATAGCAAGAGTTGGACGCGAAAGATGCGCGCGTCTTGGCTGGCCCAAATCAAGACAATTGTAGATCAACCTAATGCCTCGTCCTCGCATCTTTTGACAAGCATCTCCAACAAACAAATGACGAGCCTGCGCTCCTTTGGCCACACCAGATGTAACCTACCAAGGGTAAGATATCAGCCTGTTGGACTCTGCGATAGGACTGGCAGGTGATTTCTCATGGAAGTCGGGATGCTCTTGATCGAAGGGGATGGGGGTCAGATCAAATCGTAACTCCGCATGATGTAATAACTGAAAGAATAAAGAGAATTGAGGTAGGGTGACAGTGTTCGAACCGGCGACGCATGAAAGTCGGCGTGGGACACAGACCAATCGATGAATTGACCGATAAGGGCACTGTCGCTGGTGGTATCGATGATTAAGGAGACGGCGCGGATGAACGAGGGTCGAGAGATATAAATCAACCTCGAAATGTGGATTCGTATTACCCATCTCTGGCACTGCTATTCTTGCATCGTCTCTTGTGATAGGCTCTTCGACCCAAATATCAAAACGTTCGCAAAGACGACTCAACGGCTATGTCGACGATGCGGTTGCAGGTCAATGTCGTTGGCAAAGAGACAGAGAGGGAGTCGAGTCCGGAATTGGGCGCCATGGCAACTCGCCTGCATGACACGCCTCCATCGTCAGCAGAAACGCTCACATTTGGTGCCGAGAATGAAGGAGGGAAAGGCTGAAAGACCAGTGATGATGGAGATGCGAATATGGACGGTCAAAGCATGGCATATTTCAAGGGTCTGATTCACAAAATAAGAAGGCTCGGGACCAACAATTCGGTGGTTTATGAGGGTTGACAACTTGGCTCTATCTCCAGCAGAGCCTTGGTTACCAAGACATTCTGCCCAACGCCCCGGAATACGCACTGTGATGAGATCGGCTGAATTGGATCAGGACGCTCGTCACATTCAAGTTTAGGTACTTGAAGCATGAATGGTAGTAAATGGTGGCAACTTTAATGCATTTCTTGATGAAAGGAAGTATGAAGTAGACGTTGTGAGGCTTGTTGCAAGCAATGGCAAGGGAGACAGAGCACTCGATTAATACTCGGCAAGGCATGCACGATGCTTTGCGTGTTGGGAGTATTTACTTAGTTTCCTCACTCGTCGGTCGAAACTCGAGATTAGATCTTCAGAGTTGGCAACAACTGACCATCAAAGAGCTTATTATGGAGACAGTTCAGAAACTGATATAGATGATAATCAAATGCTGTGCGATTTGATCAATAGATACAGTGATCAAAATTGCCTATTTTCCTCTCGGGCACCTTACCCTACAACACGACAATGAACAACATTGCTTACGCCTTACATCCCGCCCTCCGATTCACTTCGCTTCAGATGCAGATGCGACATCAACAGAGCAGGAAGATCTACTTATGTGGCTTGGTTTAAGGATGACTTATTATATGAATGAGATCTGGAGTCCTCTTTGTCCGACTACTTCGTGTCTGCCTTCGGTGACGGACGTCGAGGCTCTTAGCTGAGTTGCCGTCAGACCGTGCTTCGATTAAGCGTCGCCTGACAAAAGGAGCCAATGCTGAGGCCGGAACTTAGCATCGCTGAATGCCACGTGGTCAGCCCACTGCAGAGAAGACCTATGAGTCATGGCCTGCGTCTTGGGAGGCAAGCCAGCAACTGGAGAGAGAACATACCGGTTTGCTACAAGCTACCGCTACACCCAAGCCTAGAGACGTGTAGGAAGGAGGCCATGAGCACTTCTGAATCTGGTTGACGTAAGAAAACTTGGGACGGGCTGAGAAAGTTCAAGTCAAAGACTGAAAGCTTCCCAGATCACAAAGGTTAATAACCTCTCTAAGATCATGGATTGATCGCCCGAGAGGGCTGATAGGAACAGAATGACGTTGCGTTGAGATGGTATGCCGGTGGAGATGATAAGGAACGGTGAAACACTTGTGGTTGTTGTCAATGTGCGACTGCTCGTGCTCACATTCATGCTCCTGCTCTGTTCTTAAGTCCTGGCAACCATGAGACTTGTACAAATAGTGCTCTCGAAAACAACTTCTTGATGGCTAAACCTCTTTGATATCTACTGCGAGGGAGAATAATGGACGTCGGCCGACGAACAGATGACAGCCTTCTTGGTACCACTAGAGTATGCTTGATCTTTGTATTTGATGGGGGAGTTTGCGGCATAGGTGTGTAAGTGCCTCTCTTGGAATCACTCGCGAAACGCCACTACGCCCTTCCCTTGCCGCGGCGATCAGGAGCATCTCATATGCCTGCTCTGTTGCCGTGATCGGTGTCGATGATGGCTTGAGTCCTTCCATGTAGATTCCCTGCTGGGACTCCAGTCCCTTGAGAGCGCGATAGAGTTCATGATTCTGCTCGCTGTCCAATTCTGGCAGCAGATGCTGCGGCAATGAAAGCTCGCTGGGCGAGCTGGCCTTGAACCTGTTGTCGAAATCCGCGGGGCCTGTGAAGAACCAGAACTTTTGGTGAACTTGGGGGTTTATGAACATTTTCCCATGGCCATACGACAAGTCCACATCAATCCAGATATCAGCCATGCCGAAGCCTCGAAACTCTCTCTCTGGCGTCGAAATAGAATAGCTATCGCGGTATGCATAGGTCTTTGTTGTCTTTGTCTGTGCGATCTCGTCGACAACGCCCAGTTGCTTCACGCAGTGAACAGGACCGAGAATGGGAGCTCATTCCTCCATGGCTGGCCTGATCTCTCGTCATCGAGGTAGTACTTGAACGCCGACTGATAAGTCATGGAGGTGACAGATTCAAATCCGTTACTATACCCATTTAGTAGGTATAGCTTGTTTCCGCTTGCAAGGTCGACAAACTTCATCCTTGTGACCCCCAAGGCCGAGTCCGCGACGCAAAGGCATGTGCACCCATTTCCAACGATGTCCGACGCAAAGACGGAGCTGCGGTAGTCGGTGTTTGGAAATGCTGCAAGCCAAGCGCCAGGACTCCAACCATTTCCGCCGTTCCAGACCCATATACACCGACTAGATGCAGTCGGGAGCGGTTGGAGAGGCCTTGTCAGTCAAACATAGGAGCATCCTTCATTAGGATTTCCTTGACAAACCGCCCGTAGCCCATGTTTGGCAAGTAGGAGATAGCACCATTGGATATCATGACCACATCTGCCAGTCCGTCGCCTGTCATGTCGGCTAATCACGTAGCAGCCTCGACGCGAGGGTCGTTTTGTCTTCAGATGGGGCTGGCATTCTCGCCCCGTGTGCTCTGGGGCGGCCCGAAGCCCTTCTTGCCAAGTGAAGGGAACTAGACGATGTTCTGGGTGAGCTCAACGGTCCGGAACAGGTCAGACAGGCCATTGCCGGTGAGGTCAGCCGACATGAAGTTGTCCAAGCTATCGTTGATATTTGGGACCGTTTGGAAGGGCTGGAAATCTAACCAGTCGGATCCGTCTTTACGCTCGTAGAAACTCCGTCATCCTCCCATTTCCGTCTCTTTGTACAATCTGCAGCTCGCCATTGTTGTCGTGATCTTGGAAGAAAAGGGTCTGGCTCGGTCCATGGATCTTCGGCTGCGTCCCCAGGGGGCCAGGCGCTGCAAACCGTAGATTTCCGCCTCGGAGGTCTTCAGCCGACTGTCCAGCGCTTTCGTTTCGCTGATATATCCAGGCGCGGCCTTGGTCCTGGTACAGGAGGCCTGGGGCATCCCTCAGAGTACAAGTCTACCCACCTCACTTCGGATGCCCAACTCCCGGCTGCGGGCACGTTCTGGAGGTTGAGAGGGGCACACGACACGAGCTGGAGGCCGGAAGGGCTTGGGTTTGCCGTACAGTCGGACTGAAAAGGCGGCATCCACTGTCTGACCAACTGATCACTTTCGGTTGCCATGAAGCCATGGTGGGCTCGTGTTGGTGGTGGCACGTAATAAGCTCCAGCAGATGCCTACCACGAGAGAAAGTAAGCTTGGAGCTGTTTGAGTTCGGAATGTCACGGAGGCGATGAACAACCCACCCACACCGGCTCTGGGGAGGGGGGTGGGTGTAACGAGTTATCTGCGTAAACCAACGAGGCCGCTGCACGACTCGATAGCGTCCGGGGAAGATAGGGAGAGCCAAGATAGAGATTAACAGCCGGCGTCACTGACCGGCGGCTGTCTCCATGCTCATCTACATACTCTCAAATCTACTTGACTACTGTCAATCAGTCCATCGTGGACAGCACATCCCCTTGGTTTTCAAGCAAGACTCTTCAATTCTCTCGGTCTGTCGTTTATTGAGCTATTATTTCCGCACGCAATTGATTGGCACCTATATTGCCACTCCCATCATGGCATTAGAGGCCGTCACTGGAGTCAACAAGCGGCTCTCCGCCATTATCCCCCTTGGGCATCGACGAGGAGCTGGCAGAAACGCCCCGCTCAAGGTCCCTGGTTGTTTCCGGGGAATCTGCCTTGGATGCCATTAACACGGCGGCCAGCGACGTCGTGCCGGCTGGACAAGACCTGGATCGGATCGAGCTAGCCAACAGCGTGGCAGAAATCTCCGATAATCGTGCATCTCTTATCAAAATTGCAGACAAGGACGACAATGTTTCATCAGTGGCAGATCTTGCCTCGGCATATCGCAATCCTTGTATCATTGTCGAATCGCTCTTAGACGACACCGAGGGCCTTGAGGTTGCCCGGGGGCTGTCCCATAAGCTGTACATCGCAGAGCCCGCCACGGTATTGGTCGGCATGGTGGACAACAACAATGTGATTAGCGCCAACGATGAGGTTAAACAGGGAGTGGCCTCCTTCATGCGGGCAAAGGTCCCCGGCGTGGACGTCCTCGTCACTCTGGTACTCGAGGCCCTGGAGAAGATGACTAAACTGTTTGGGGACGTCAGCGACGTGACAAGGGAAGCCATTGTTGATGAGGGGCACACAATGAGACGAGTCAATGCCCTGCCACCCGACTGGAGCAAGGTAACGGCTCTGCTAAGCACGAACATGAAGTATTGCACCGACATTGCTATGAAGTCAGTAGCCTTTTTCCAGAAGTCTGCCATTGGCGTCAACATGAGCTCGCAGCAGGCTCGCCAGGTGCACTCTGCGGCCGTCAACATGGCCATGATGTACAGTAACAGCATGGCGTCTGCCTTCCAGGTGGAAAGAAGATGTGGCCTCTTTATGGACGGCTGCAAGAGCCACGTCGGCTCTCCCGTGGACATAGAGAAGTTCACAGGCCGGCAACAGTTGCAGGTCAACTTCGATACTATCTTTGGAGGAAACGACGAAACCATCTCCAAAGAATGGGGTACCATATACGGACCAGCCGCCTACTTCGTCTCCAATACCCCCAGAGGGAATCATATCAGCCTGACTCCGATGACCCTGAGGCCAAAGTGGACTGCGCTCATGGTTCTCGATCAAAAGAGGCCAGACTCGGCTCTCTACGAGCTCACAGAAGAGGACGTCACCACGCTGGTGCGTTACATCGATCTCGTCAACGAGATGATGGAGGCTTTCCATCATCAATCTCTAGCTTCATGACGTAGCATATCAAAGGCCATGACAAGCTTGAGCTTGCAGCCTTCAGTGTTCAGAAAGCCACCGTAGTCGATTTGCTCTGGCGACCTGAAAACACCAATATAATGGCATACGGGTACGATGCGGGGCGCCTTGGCCTCACCGAAGAAGAGTACCTGATGCTTACCAATGAGGTATTCCAATCCCCCAGCTACTACCACAGCAAGGTGGCGATGCAGTATGGGATCAGCCCTGTCCACGAGCCCTTTGGCTACAAGACGTCGTCCGGCCTCCATGACAAGTCCCCCAACGGAAACGGTCGCAGCTGCTAAGGCGAACTGGCATCAGCTGGGTGGACCTGGTCTCGATTATCAAGACGAGATACCTCAGCCCTTGTAAGCCGACCGGGAGAGACCAAGTCATCCTCGACGCGTTCTATACAAGCTACCGATATCTTCAGACGCTCGAGGTCCCTGAAAGTATCGTTCCGGACAGCTACAAGAACATACGTTCGGTTCTTCGTCAGCTCGCGAGCAACTTGTCGAGCAGTGGCTTCATAAAATGCTGAGATTGACGACTCGGTCGACAATAAGCTCAAGGTGCTCGGTTGGCTGATTGTGCTCGAGTCGAATAATGGAAAGTACCTGCATATAGTGAATGATCACAAGGACTTTTAGGTATTGGACGTTGAAGCGACGGTCAAGCTCGGGAGCGTTGCCTCAGAGAAAAAGAAGCCTAACAAGAAGCCGGACTCTCTGTCAATGAGTTCTAGCTCCATCGCGATGGGCTTCTCATCAACCAACATGATGTCCCGGTCGGTAATATCGACAGCACCGGCAGGCTTCTCTTCTTTGGCGTCGAAGCAAGTAGCACTCCCATCACGGTCCAGTTCAGGACGCACAACTCTTCGTCCGTCTCTGAAGGAAGCTGGGATGGCCCATCGCGGCGGTTGACATGGCTCTGATGGCTCTCAAATCCAAACCAGTGAATGCCGATAGTGAGGAGGCAGACGGAGACGGGGAATACGAGCCACTGAAGAGCACGTTGGAAACGTTGCAGTTCTTGTAGACTTGGAGGAACCTCTAGGAATCCAGGTTTAGCATCAAGGAACTGAGCTACGTCACAACTGTTGACCATGTTAATGGGTCCCACCTTGACATTGATGAGGTTAAGATTGCCGTGACAGGCGAGGCATATAGGAACGACACACTCGCCGTTAACGACGCCCACTGACCAGTCCCTCCAGGCCAGGGGGTCACGGAAGTCATGGTCAAGGCCAAGGCCGTTGCATATTTCGGAGAGGAAAAGACCAAGCAGTCATGTAGTTCCTAGACGTCAGGTTGGAGTACTCGGGCAATGTGCCAAAGGGAATTATCCTGGATGAGCCACAAAAGGGCGCCCCTGGACAGGCAGGAGTCTCGCCCACCTAGACAAAGGGAGCGGCCTCGATCAAGCCAAGCCGTGATCCTCAGCTCCAAGGCGTCACATATGTCTCCGGAAGCACGGATTCTGGGGTGAAGGCAAAACTTCAGATCGTGGGCATCTTGTCAACGGCGGAGCTGAAGAAGATTGCCGACATGGCCAGCTGAAACACATCCGACAAGGACAAGGAGGCCGGGATTATGGGCTCGGCAGTCTCGCAAGGGAGTATTCCAAAGCAATCACGTATGGCATCTTCCCGTTAGACGACATTTTCTTCAAGCGGGATGGGGATGCCTCGTCCGAGACTCGAGTACCCAGCGCCGGAAAGTACCAAAAGTTCTTCGAGAAGCTTCTCCTCAAGCTCACCTACAAGCTCACCTAGAACGCCATTGCCTCGTAGATGGCGTCCGTCGTTGGCTCAGCTGATCTAGATTTTATCACCACTCTTCTTTTTGTCCAAGAAGGACAAGGACGGTCACGTTGAGGATATCTCCGGGTTCCGCAGATGGATAACTATGTTGTCTACTTCACGTCGAGCACGGCACCCACCGGACTGTACATCAACAATAAGTCCTACGACATCCGTACCATATTCCAGGGGCAAAAGAAGATTCTTTCCACAGACCCCAAAACTCTAATCCGTCTCGAGTCCAACCAGCTGTACCGCTTCGTCCTGCACGGCGGTGACATTCGCGAACTCGACTGGCAGGCTTCAGGCACGCGCCGTAAAAAGGTGCCCGACGGTTGTCGTCTTCCTGACCTCACATCGTTCCGCCTCAGGCCTCTGTTTAACAAGCTCCGTCGGGCGTCGATCCCTTCCCAGAGGTTCAGCCGCAGCGCAGGAGATGCTGCGAACATGAACAGCCGCGGCCAGTCACTTGACAAGTTGGACTTTGCCAGCATGAAAATTCAACATCCACGGCGCATCCACAGCTTTGTATTCTTCAGGGGCAGCCTTTCTAGCTCAGGCGCCTCACCTCTGAAGTCCCTGTTTATCGGGGCCGACGCTGCGTCAAAGGTGGCGGCAGAGCAGGAAGACGGAGACAGAGAGCTTCAGGGTGACGCTGCTCTGCCCAGCATGTCGGTGACCTTGCTCCCGGCCAAGATAGCCTCGGTTGCCGGCTGGGTGGGATGCTTCACTGATAGACTTAGAGTCGGAATACGTGCCCACTGACACATTGGACAGGGCCCAGCAGTGGGAGTGTATGAAGAACTATAGTACATGGGCATCCAACGGGAAGGTCTTTCTCTACCCGGAGAACCTGACCGAGCCGAGTCTGAGAGTCAACGAGTCGCCTTTCTTCAAGGAGCTGGATACAGAGCTGGATCAGAACGAACTCACAAAGGAGACTGTGAGCTCGATGATGAGGAGCTACATGACGAAGCTGGCAGACGTGTCGAACCTCGAACCGGTCAGCCTGTACTTGCAAAGGTCAGGCGGTCAAACCGCCGTAGTTCACTTGTTTGACCGCGCCTGGAACGCCCCCTCTGACAACTACAACCGGTCCAACAGTCCGAAAACGAAGCAACGGACGGCGTGGACCAAGATGGCCATTGAGACCCCCCGCTACGTCACCAAGACTGGCAAGATGGGGTCATACCTGATCCCGGCTGTCCCGGGAAACAGACTGCTCATCTTTATCCCTCAAATCATGATGAATTCGAAGATGACGGACGTCAACTAAGCAGCCAGCTACATCATACCACAGACTGTACAGAGTGGTGAGGTCAAGGGCACTCAGGTCGGCCATCGGCTTGAGATTCGCATGAGTTGGACAGAGTGTCGAAACGGCGGTTGAACGCCCCGGCAGCAGACCTCGGATGCCATCACCTGGGACTTAGAACCACTGAAAGACGCAACCATTGATCTAGACCAGGTCATGTTCGTCGCTTTGGAACAGGAGCAGCTGATAGACGACTCATCCATCGCCATCGCCGTAGCCACGTGCTCTACCCGCTTGAGGGACCCTCCCCCGGACCCAAACGCTCCAGAATCGACTACCGAGGTTCTAAAACGATCGGAACCTTCCATTTCTCTGGGTCTCTTGTCGGGAATGATATCGCCCCTGGCATAAACCCGAGAGCATTGCAGCATCCGCAATTCACAGCTAGCGAAAGTACGCAGTTCTTCGGAAGCCGCATGAATAGGGACCGCGTATACACAACCCAAGCCACCTACACCTACGATGCTCAAAACAGCATCTTCAACGCCGAATGGCCAAAACCGACCATGCCATGGATCCAAATCATTGTTAATTCATCCACCAACGACGTGAGCAGTGACATTGTCTTCCCGAGCCCAGCCGCAACCGAGCCCAAGCAGGAAGACGTGCGCATGGTTGGCCCTCAGCGTCTGCCACTTCGTCTTCGATCCAGTTGCCCCGGACAGGAAATCGGATCTGTACCGGATCTGGAGGCTCTTGTCCTTCAAGGACATTCAGAGGATGACCTTGGAAGACTACCTGCTGGAGACAATATCGTCCAAGTCCTTTGACAATGACAATGCAGTGAAGATCGTCACTGACTGGCGCAACAATACCTTCCGGCCGCACCCGGTTGCAAGATCGCGGCCCCTGGCGTACAAGAAGTGGATCGTCATCAAGTATATCAAAATCCTCATTGCGTACGGAGACTTCTATTTTCGCCAGATCACGCTGGACAGTATTCCAAACGCCATCCACATGTACGTTCTGGCCTCGCACTTGTACCGTCCCTGGGGACAGAAGATACCGCGGAGACACAACAGCAACCTGAGCTCTGTGTTGAGTTCTGTCAACGGGCCCATGCCGACCTGCCGGTTCCAGTACCTCCTTGGGCGGGCCATAGACATGGCAGTCGAGGCTAAGAGCTTCGGCAACGCACTGCTGACGGCCAACGAGAAATTCGACGGTGAGACTATGGCCGCTCTGCTAGTAAAGCACGAGTCGATCGTATATCAGATTGGGATCGAGCTAAAGAAGAACACGCTGAGGGAAGCCCGGGCGGCGGTCGAGGCCCGAGAAGACAGCCGCAAAGCACCAGCCTACCGCCTCTCGTATTACCTCATGACGCCAGGCATGGATCAGGGTATCCCGGGCATCGAGGACAAATTCCAAGACGTTTCCCTCAATATGCTAGGACCAGTAGAAGAGGGCAACCTGAAACTCCTGCAGGATGAGAAGACCGAGATGGGCAAGCTTTCCGAGAGCCCATGGTCTTCAGAAGCATATCGGAAGACTCGAGACCGCTGCGAGCGCCTTCCACTCGCTACCGCTCGTCTCTACCCACGCTACACCTCTGGGCTGCGGCGTGGCATTGCACATCGGACCGGCCAACGTCGCCCATGTCATGGACGGCTAGACGCGGATGCCCTCACCTTCCAGAGCTCCAAAACATGTGAGCTCAAGGCCGTCGACAAGCAGATCCTCAGTTCCAAGATTCGCGTCGAGACGTGCGAGCAGGAGATTGAGCAGCAGGAGACGCAGGTAGAGCAGGCCAGAGAGGTTGAGGAGTACCTGCAGTCTAAGTACACCAACGCAGAGCTGTGCCCCTGGATGGCCGGCGTCACTAGGTCGCTGTTCTCTGATAAATACAACAGACATAGCTCCCGCTCTAGCTCTGAAGTCCGTCCCTTTCACGCCGAATGACCTGGCCGGCCCTGTCGGCCGCCAGTGCAGTCCACAATGCTTCAATGCCCTTTACCATTGGAATCGTCCCCATTCCTCTCTGTCAGAAGAAATCTGAATACATGGCCAAGCAAGCGAAGGAAAACCTAAATCGTATCGCGGTTGGCCTTCAGTGGTTCGACGCTGGGAAGCAGTTGTAATGCTTGGAGAACCCAAAGAGAAGGGCCAAGCCTTGTCCGATTGCCCTGGGCACCCAGCTACGTCCCGATAGGTTGTTGGTCTTGAACCGTCAGTACCATTGCGAAAAAGAGGCTACGTGAATATGAGCACTTGAAATGGCCATTTTCATCATTTTCATCATCCGCACCTCGACATATCTTTCGTCTTACTCAACCATTGATGGCAACGAGTTGGAAAGTGCGGCGGAAAGGATGAATCGGGACAACCTATGTATTCTGCTTGTGATCGTCACCTGTGTGCCGCATGAACCGGAGAGGCTGCTCCCGTCAGTGAGAGGTCAAGGGGAACTCCGATCAGGATCAAAGTCGGCATATGTAGCGATGGTGGCTCAAGTCTGCTCGCCGTATGTTATGAGTCTATTCAAACATGTAGTTTTACAATTGTTTTCACTTCCAGAGTCGCGTTTAATCTTTAATTGGCTAACAGTATGGAGCCAACTTGGGAGGAGCCCAGGCGAGCACGCGTCGATCGACAGGGAGTCACTGATGGCGGCTCCAGGCGACGGAGGAACCGTAGTCGACAATTTTGAGTCTGATTCCTTCAACATATTATATTTGAGTCTCTCTGCAACGCTCCGCGACGATCCGAACCTGATGCCACACCGCCATGAACGTCCAACCGCCTGACACCCATGCCAGCCAAGATATAATAGTTCGTCTGGAGTAGCGAGGATAACATCTTGAGAGGGATATGGTATGAGCCTCCTCATGGGGGACGTTGGAATCATGTCCTCAAGGCGCCGAGAGTGACGGCTGGATATCTTTGTTGATTGGGAGAGTCGCTGCGGGATTACGATTCTTGTTGACACAACTTAGTTGATTAGCCACATCAACCGACCGAGTACTATTAGTAGGGGCTGGAGCGGCCGAACTCACTTGGATGGATGAAGGGTGGCGGCGGCGAGGCGAAATATGGGGGAGGAATACCGGATCAGGACAAGGTAGAACAAAGCCGAACTTGCTTGAACAAGAGGGCCATCTGCTCCTAGATACTAGATCAACTAGCGAGCCTAGTAGGAAATGGCCGCGAAAAGAAGTAATACAAACCAATGAAAGGCGGCGGGATGAAGGCTTAGTCTCAAGGGCGTGGAGAGTAGCTCACGCGGGATCGCATGGTGGTGATGATTGTTGGGGGGTTTGATAGACCGGTGTTTGATAAGAATGAGATTCAGAGACGCGTTTTCTTATACCCTTGACGTTTACGGACCGTTCATCTGCTCTTTTGGGGCGTAGCTGTCCACCCAAGCTCTTTATTGTACTTGAACAGCAACAGTGCACAGGCTGTGGTTGAGACTCGGGACTCTGAGTCGAAAAGCGACCTTCATCCTTATAAGTCAATGAATGCTGGAACATGACTGAAGTTTGATTAGCAGTTTCATTGCACTTCTTTACTCTCGAACATGGTGATTTATAAGACTGATTTGGGGGCCTATATACAATTCTATGCCATGTTCATTCATCCTTGTCATCTTTGCCTATCAAACACTCTGGACTCTTCTCCCCAGTTTGACACGTCTCTTCAATCAAGCTGTGGCAGCCTCTTTTCGCCTGACGGCTTGATAGTGTCCTCCTCGTCATCAAGTCCCCAAATCTACTGAGCCAAAGCCGCGGCTACACTCTCACCTTGCTCCCAGTCGTCTCTGTTACCAAGTTCCATCATCACGTTCGCCCCATACACAATTCATCCGCCTACCAGGATCACTGATACTAGTTATCACGACAAATAACCTTGAACAGGAGCCTACGCCCACCTAATTGCGTCGTCCCCTTTGATGTTCGACAGCAACTCGGCTCTTATTTGTATTCCAGGCTTTTCTGACCAAGGAAGCTTTCTCACTTGTATAAAATGTTCCTCATTGTCGGCATCCAACGGGTTCGCGAGGATGGTGAAGGGGACTGCCATGGCGACCTGGAAACGTACTTGTTTCGCCCTTCATGATGTTATATTGTGCTTGAGATCTGTTCTTTATCATAGTTGCAGCCCAGCCCTTGATGGGTTAACTGAGCCCGAAGATCGTACTTGTTCGCCCAACGCATGCGCCGCCAGTTCTCACCCAAAGCCCCAACCAGTGATATAACGCATCAGACGTGGGTTTGCCGAGAGTCAGGCTATCGCTCAATGGGATTTTCGAGTCCCAAAATCCTGGTGATGGCCATTACTTTGAATGATCCATAGCCAGTGCTTCATAAGAATTGCTGAAGGCCTGTGTGCATCTCAAAGAAGCTTGATAGATGGCTCGGTATTGGAGGAGATCAAGGTCCCTCTTTTTGGCGACCCCTGTGATTCTGAATATTGGTAACTGAAAACAGATCTCCACCGTGTGGGATCCCTGACTTGTCAACTTTGTGATCTAGAGAGAAAGTCGCCGTAATGCTCAAGTGATGCTACCTCGATACCACCCCCTGATTGTGCTGACGCAAGGTTGGAGGGAAAAAAGGCCCAAGAGCCGAGCTAACAGATACGGGGTGCCAAATACACAGAAGATGACCGGGAATCCGTGGACGGGCAATATCTTTGCTTATATGATTGGTTCTGGCGAAAGACTTCACATCAAGTGGGTTTCAGGGTCATGGCAGGTATCAAAGACACGAGAACCCTCGATCAGCGTTCATTTTCATCATTTTCATCATTTGGTTAAACGAGAAATGAACTATGCAAGGGCCATCCAAATGTATGAGAATATCCAAACGACAATCATCAAGGGTATCTGAAGAACCAAAAACAGGAGATTAGAAGTGTAGCCAACTGAATAATACTCTCTTGCACTCTTCGCCCTTCACAAGTCGAGTACATACTCAACTCAGCTTCTATCCCCCAGGACATCCTTCACCGTGGTGACACTGGTTGTCGCAGCCACCGCGTTTCTTGCAACGACAGTTTTGACACGATATCGTGCATGGACAACCTCCGTGGAAGTACTGACGAGAATAATTAGTTAGTAAGGACCACTCAAAGACTCGGCAGCTCAACTTACCGTCAATTCTTGTTTACACTTGGCCAGTTCATCTTTCGAGAGACATGTCCAAGGACCGGAGTTTGCCTCCGAGGCGGCCAGGATGGCTTGAACCCTATCCCTGAACTCACCCGACATTTCCTCATTTGTGACGTGTGGGTTCTCCAGTTCAAACCTTGATGCTTCCATGACTCTGACCATTGACTTCGGGTGCCAATGCATAGTCCCCGTCATCAAGACATTGGTCAGGGACAGCGGAGCATGAAGCGTGGTTCCTGGTTGTACCATGGTACTGCCCTGCTCAAGGTACAGGGCAATGCCGTTGGCCGGGTAGACACCTGTATCCAGCCACTTCTTAAGGTCTTCCAAATGAAGACCTGGCCACGTCACCCAGAGCTTCTCACCATCTTCACAAAAGGCAGTCGTGATAACGTGATGTAGATCAACATGTGGAAGATGCATAGCACCTCGAGTAGCCAAGAGCTGGAAATGTGTTGAAGCGGTAAGGTCGATTGGGATGGCACCCTCAGCCTTGCCCTTGCTTCTCTTCCCACTCTTCGGGGGCTGGTCACCGAGCTTCATCCTCTTTCCATTGCCAGATCGACTAACATCGGTGATTATGTGATAATCGGGTATATTGACCAGGCATTCCGGAACAGGGTTCTTCTTTACACCAGCCAAGTTCAGAAGATTGATAGCACAATCACCTGGCTCTGGCTCACGAAAACGCCGGGTAGCATCTTGGGATGGCCACTGCTGCGGTTGATGACCTTGCTCGGAATACATGGCCCCAAAGTCATGAACGTCGATAGCAGGTTGGGACTCAAGGTAGCTGAGATACCAAGGAAGCCCGACGAATCTTGGGTTTGGGTTTGTATTCATCGCGGCGGGAACCAGTATAGGGAGCTTGCAGGGTCCATGCCTCAGGACAAGCTCGGCTTCGTCCATGGAGCAAAGGACATATTGAGTCGTTGGGCCGTTCATGGTGTCCACCTTTGCCAGGTACTCTACGGCGGTTAGGGGAGTCCCAATATCTGCGTCGCGGAGGATCAAACCGAACTTCTTGGCGTCGTGGCCTTCGCGGAGGCCGGCTGATCCCTTCGACAGCAGCTCATCGATGAGTTGTCGGGATTCTTCCAGCTTCGCCGCCGCCTGGTGTGTGTATGCTTGAGTGTCTGTCGGTGAAGCTGTCGGTGAAGCTGTCGGGCGGCTGACGTTGAGCGAGTTTCCAGATGATCTGGCCAACTCGCAAATTCTCTCGTGAGCCCTCTTCAGCGGCTCGCCACAGGCACAAAGACGATGTACGTTTCTCTTGTGCTTTCGAAGCAACTCTTTGCGTGGAAAAGCCTTGTCACACTTGTCACAGGTGAAGGTAACAGGTGCTCGGCAAACGATCTGATGCCGGGTGATCTCCTCACCAGCGAACACTTTGTTGCACCCACCACATGTTTCGTGCTGCAGCTTGTAGTGTTGGTTTATGTACTTTCGATGGAAAGTACCTTGACATCCTCGTTCGCAGGAGACGGGTTCGGGTTTTTTGGGCATCATGGGCCAAGACGATGGCACCAGGAATGCAAGGCTGTCGTGAAGGCCAGAGGGAACAACAGGCGCACAGGCTGTCGAGAAGGTCGGCGAGGACAAGAGGCACGACGAGCCGGGAAGGAGAGCAAGTCGTGATGGTGAGATACAGATAGGGTGAGACGGTCGCTACGGCAGTGACCACACAAGAAGAGTGCTCCGATGATGGAATAAGATGACAAGGCCAGAGGCCAAGGCTTGTTGTTGTTTACCACCGGTAGGGAGCTTGTATTGATATTGCTTTTCCTGGGGGTGTGGCTGGGCGTCTCTGGCTGTGGCGTGGGTGAAAGACATGGCAAGAACTTGGCCGTAACCAGTATCAAAGTAGAAGGACAGTTTGATTGAGCAAATATTTACCATGGGCGTTACCCAGCTACTCTCTGGGCCACTACGTATGAATCCGCTCCCATCTTATCCCCCCGGTCAAAGTCCTACCCTTCGCTGAATCTTCCCGGTCCTCCATTGATGATGGCCCCTCGGGTCCCTCAGAAACGTATTTTACACTTGCTGCAGCTCTACATGGCGGGCGATATGAGTGACGGCTTCTTCAGCAGCTCTCCCGCTATGGACCAGGGCTGTTGAATGATGTAGATCCACCATGGCTTGGCGAGTGTCCGGCATACCAAGCCGGAGAGGACTTCCCAGGGGCTTCTACCTGTAAAAAGCAAGAATAATATCAACGCGAGGTTTCAGCTCTGTCCGCGTCAACGGCAACGGCAACGGCAACGGTTATTACGGCACAAAATCGGGAGGGCCCAGAACCTTGGCATCCGACCAGTACGCTGCAAACAAATTGCCGAGAATAACAAGGCACAGCAAGGCGAGTCGGAAAGCCAACCCGTTTGATTTGACTGCGGAGGGGACCACAGACTCTTCGAGCGAAGCACGAAAACCCCTGGGAGCGACGTTGGAATAAGCTCAAGCCAAGACTGACCACAATCCGCCTTACCAGTGGGGTGATGGCCCATGGAGATGGTGTGCATGTGTCTCTGAACCTGGGTCCTCCGCTAGGTCCCTAACTTTTGACACCTCTTGGCGGATGACTGGGGATCCTCAAAGGCTGACTCTTGGCCTCAATTGTGGAAATGATCCTTCGTCGATCGGTACCAAATAAGTACCCGCATGGGTCATTGCGGAGATTGCGGCCGAGGCTGGGGAGAGCCATGCATTGCATAACATGTACCTTGATGCTGTGCACTGGGCTGAGCTTGTGCCATCAGATGATGGAGGTCCCTTCAGCGCATTGCAGACCCCATCGCTGTAACAAGATTGATTGTCCCAAGCGGAGTATTGGCCCCGGAGGATCGGGAGTCGGAAAAGATGGATCCCCCCCCCCGACCGCGACCGGTCTTGCCGGGGCGAACCCCTATTTTGTCGCAGCCTCCGCCAGACTGAGAATGAGAGGCTCTCATGAACATTGTAGGTACTTGGCCTTCTCTAGCCTTGAAAATCCACCAGACCTCGTTGATATACGGCACTCTTTTGAGAGCATCCATCTTTGATCAATGTGACTCTTCAGAGTGCGCATCAGTTGACACGACATATTCACTCCCATCGCCCGACTTGTTTTCTTTCTACTTGGCCCGGATTCTCCAATCTGTCTGAGGCGCTCGACGCCGGACCTGGAATCGTGTAATGAGCTGGAAGCACTTCATGCTTCGAGGCACTTTATGCCAGAGTGTGAAAGCACTTTATGCTTTAAGGCACTTTATGCCAGAGTGTGAAAGCACTTTATGCTTTAAGGCACTTTATGCCAGAGTGTGAAAGCACTTTATGCTTTAAGGCACTTTATGCCAGAGACAGGGTAGAGGCATTTTATGCTTCCGCCTACCCTGCGTTTTCTTCAACTCCACAGACACTTGCTTCTCTTCTCTCGCTGGCCATGGGCAAGCGTCTGATGCCTCGGCTCAGGGTTTCGCTTGAGACGCGCATTTGATCCTTCTGTGCGCTGGCATGAATTGATCCAGGATATCTTGTATACTGAAGCATCTCCCGCGTCCAGCCACTCGAGCTCAAGGCATTTTATGCCTTGATATATACCCTCCTCCTCCACGATAGTCACTTTTGCCGATAACATTCTCTCCCCTCCACCAAAGGTCCTCCTCGGATGGTCCCGATGCCAACATCACTGTTAATTGAATGATGAGAACTTTCGGTGTTATCGTCATTGTTCTGGTGTTATTATTGTCTCGGTGTTTCCGTTGTTGATTCGCGTTTTCATTGTCGTGATCGTGGTCGTTATGTTTTTATGTTCTCTTGTTCATGGCCCTCCCCTCCCCAATGACTGGCAATGGCGGGTTTGTGTAGGTAGGTAGGTAGCGGTAGAATAGCCGATGACCCATCATCGTCAAGATCCATGATTGTAAACTCGGCTCCGACCGCATGGCGATCTCATAAGGTCTCGAGCGTGGAGCAGCTAGACGAAAAGATTGCAACCGAACAAGACTGTAACTGAACTCGTTGGCCACCGCTGCCGGAGGAGGTGTCAAAGGGGGCGGTTGATGATGGATAAAGGAGATAGGCGAGCGCTGTTGTGCTCTTCCGTATGTCCGGGCTAGGGCTTGTTGGAACGGGAAGTGGATTGGTATTGGTACTCTTGCATGTTTCTAGGCTTCACATGGTTGACTCGGTTGAATTTACCACTGTAGTTGGCCTGTTGGACTTAATCTGTCCTTGATGCTAACGATTGGTGCTTGAATGAAGAGCGTGTATTGCTGGGTCGAGGCGAGTTGAGAGAATCTAGTCTTCTATTGAAGCTTCCCAGGGCATTTGCTGAAGATATTGCCATTGATAAATGCGTGAGTGCATCTGCTGATGAAAAGGGGCGTGTTTATTGTATAGGTACTCGTATACGCAGTATAAAGTCGTCAAGCGTAAAGACATATCGCCCAATAAGAGGCTTCGGGGTTGTATGGATAATCGCGGCGCAAAGGGAGCGGCGGACGAGGGCCGTAGGTTTCTCGACTTGGACCTTGTTGGTGAAGGCATCGCTGTTCAGGCGGATTGTGTGTGGAATGAAGTGGCAGTCGATATTTTAGGCGGAGAGAGGCTCGGAAACTGCGGTTTCGAACGTAGGAGATTGAGAATCGAGGAAAAGTATGTTGAGTGGCTGGTTTCTGGAAGATGCGACCGTCGCCATGAAATATAAAGACGTGGCCCCACGGAATCATGGCGACGCTCGAACTGAGGCGCCAGGACCCAGGTCTAATGTTGAAGCATCTTGATGTGGTTGGTTATTGAGTTGACGGTGTAGGAGCAGAGTTCTCTCTGGTGGGTAAGATACTGAGGTAAACGAGAGCTTGAAGGATGGTGGGAATCTCTATGACATGGTGGATGATGGCCTAGTCGTCATGAGCCTCAAATGCACTGTCGTTATTATGGACACGTGGGCTCCCATCATCATGCAGGTGTGCTTTGTCACACACATTCCGCAGATGGACAGGCTGGCCATACCTTGGCATCGAGTGAATACGGGCACATAATAGGCTTCCGGGCTTCCTCACCGCCGTTGACCATGTCACGCCAACGATGCCGCTAATGCAAGCACTCAATGAAGGGTGGCAACATCATGAACAGCTGGCTCATGCGACAGTCCGCATGACATGACGCTGCGGAGACATGATAGAAGTCAAGAAAGGAAAATGGCTCTGCAACAGTATCCGGCGTAAGCACGACAAGAGAGACGAAAGCGGTGTGGACAACTTTGCGGCGATATTGAAGCAGCTAATGCAAGTATTCAACGAAAGATGACCACGTCATGAACAGTTGGCATTTCAAACATCCGGCGTGACCGAGCCCTTTGTTCTCCTCTCACCGCTCCACCAGCCCCTCAAGATCGTTGGGGAATGAGTAATTCACCAAAGGAAAGACGGTACTATGCTCCTCCCCTCCCTCCTCCCTTCTCTCCATGGTCTGTCCATCTTGACTCACTTCTTTTGAACTCACTGGCAGAGGATCTTGCTCGTCAGCTGTTTGACCTGAGCTGTATCTCCGACTGTCTAGTTAACCTTGGTCATCGTTTCGTCCTATCACTCTTGCTTACCGCCTCATTGAGCCTCGTCACCAAGCTGCCAAAGATCTTTCCGACTGGACACAACTCTCTCTGGTATCCTTGCTTCGAGTTGGCTCTATTACAGTATGTGTGTGTGTATGGTGATGTTTCTGGTCCTTTCCAACTGATCCCTCGGTAGTCATACCAGACCAAGTCCATCAACATGTGCTTTTCCAACACCAAGCATGTTTGTGAAGGAGTTCCCGTCTCTTCCCTCCGCAAAGGCCTCAACATTCGGTTCGAGTGGAAGTGCAGCAATGCCCAAACTCAGATGCTCCGTCACATGGCCTTGCATGAGGTGACGAAGCAAAACTGTACGCAAGTGAGTCTGAGGCGCTATCTCTTGGTCAACGTATGGAACACTGACGGGATTTCCCCCAAAGAAAGAGTTGCCTAGTTTGCTATAGGCGATCAACTGCTACTGGCCTAACTCTGAATATCCCGCCAATATTACTCCCCGAGTCCAGAGACGCATGGAAGTTGTCTTTCATAACCTTGTCTTGGACGGTATTATTTAGTCCACGCGGCTATCTACTGGTGGATGGTCTTCTGAATGGCCTGCTTGGACTAAGAACTGGCTGAAGATGGACTGGACTGGCGATACTTCGCCGCCCAGTGACGTTTCTCAGGGAGGAGGCATAATCATCGACTTGACCGACCTGAAGGAGACTCTCGCCGAGGCCGTACCTACCGCTGAGATGGCCATGACGATGAACCCTTCTCCGATCTCGCCTCCCGAGTCGGTCGACATCGTCATGCCAGATGCATGCGATATACCGGCTGTCTTTGAGACCACCGGGTTTCCCATGACGCCTCAGGACTCCCCAATCGGAGGGTTTAGACCGCAGGGCATGTTTTCGGATCACCTGCCCTCCAGCTCGACAACCAGCTTTAATCAGACGTTTTTTCAGGGACACACCCCATCAGTCACTTCTGTGACATCCTTCAACCCTACTTTGGCATCTCACCATGGGAATCAGGGAGATGCCACGCCGGTACACTATACGGCATTAAACCAGACTCTCGCACCCAACTTTGCACAGTTACACAGTACACCCACGTCATGCACCTCGTTCAACCAAGTCTTCCTCCCACGCGAGGCCAGAATGACTCCTCCCACAAGCCCTCCAAGTTGGCAGCCCTCTTGGTTTGGAATTCCACGGACGAATAACGAGCCTGTCCACCAAGTGCATCACCCGATGCCGTCCATCGCCACTTCCAGCTTCCAACAACGCCAGGGCATCGTTTCTGGCCCCAGCCACGCGAGGAGTCAGCCAGGAACATGTTGTCCTCAGTCAACCCAACACCAAGATCAACGACAGGCTGGGCTCGTCGGACCTTCAGCTGATATTATTGCACCTGACTCTCTTGCGGCTGCTTATCGTGCCGCTGGTTTTACTTTGGCCCCTTCTCCCATCTAGACCCCCGTCGCAGCTCCATCTGTAACCTCCTTTAACCAAACCGCTATCTGGGATATACAAAACGGAACGTCCTCGCACGCACCGCCCGTCGCTATTGAGAATATCATGGATGGAGCTTCATCGTATGCTCCAACTGCTATAACGCAAACTCGAAAGCAAATCCCCGCCCTCTCCCAGATCCCCGAAGACGAGGTGCGTCCTCAACAAAGGCATGAGAGCGCCACCAAGGCATACCGTGCCATGCCGACGCCATCTGCTACGCTATCTCCAGAAAGGGTAGTGCTAGCTAGTCTAGGTTAGACTGTACTTGCTTCTCGCGTTGAACTTTGGCGCCAGAATGTCAACTCGCCTATGGTCGATCTGGTCAAGGTCAAAGTCGCCATGCTGCTTCAAATCTCTCTGAGGAAGAAGTTAAAGATCCGAATTAAGACTAAGCAGGCATATGCGATCTGTGAAAGCATTCAAGGAGCGCTGATGAGCATCCACGAGATGAGGCGGAGCCGAGCTGCAAGCATATCGACCATGGCCAGGAAGAAGATCGGCCTGGGGCTTGTGAAGCCAAGTTCGGAAGATATAGATCATCTCTACGTCAAACTTGAAGAGAAGCAAAGCGAAATTGCGAAGCATGGGGAGAGCATATTGAAGGAAGTGATGGAGGTGGGCAAGTGCACTTTTCGCAGCGATGGGCGGAGCGCTGTTGATGGTATTATGAGGCTTTGAGGTGATGGATGATGAGGAATGAATGAATGAAGAATGTTTTTTTTTTGGCCTCACGATAGCCAGTTTGCAAGTCTTTAACTCCGTAGTATCTATCCTGTTATGAGTAGTGCAGGTAGTCCAACTCTGGTATCTCTGATCCATCCCATCCCGATGGCCGAATAACTGACAGCATGGATACCAACCATGTTGATTTGAACTCGCCCTCATTATTCACCGGGAAAATAGCACTTAAACAGGCCTCTTACCATGGCCTAGATCCACACACTCCAACTTCCTTTATCAGGGAAGGAAAAGCTAGGCATCTTGATCCTCCGAAGCCCTCAGCCTGATACAACTGAGCTCGTCCACTGACGGCCTCGATTATGGCTTGACTGGACACCAAGCATGCGGACCAATGAAATGCGCAGGTTTACTCAAATTGTCTGCTCACGGCCTAGCGCCAGCCGCCGTCGTTCATGAGCCAGTGAAATGCCCCAAGTCAGATCCGCATCATTTCAGCCCGGCGCTGCTCGCAGGCCGCCTTGGAATGTCAAAATACAGATGGACCGTCTGGACTCGGGCCACAGAGAGGATACGGTAATCGAGCGGCCCACAATAGGGTTCCGTGCTCAACCAATCAACGGGAAGCTATGTTGCGTAGCACACCCCCCATTCGAACGCACTGACAGTAGGGCGTTTGAATGCCTCTTTTGGAGTGTGAATAGCTTAAAACCCCGCCAACAAAGGAAAAATGCCAAAAATAGAGAAATAAAAAGAATAACAACAAAGGCCATTGTGCTCGCAATCGCTCAGTGAATTGCCCGTTTGCAGCTTGGTGACGTAGCGTATTGCCACAAGTGCGTTGGGACGGTACGAAACGCCGTCGCTTCATGCCAAGCCTGTACCGTTGGAGGAGCCTCTCAACTAATTCAGGCAGCGCTAATGTAAGCCTAATGACCCACAAGCCAGTGCCTTTGATTGGAGATATTGTCATGACGGGTAAAAGCGGGGGAAAAGTGGAAAAATGGAGTAAACGGTGCGTTAGCTCTGTCTGAATTTGTTGAGAGGATACGGTACCTAGGCATAAAACCGGCCGCACGGCCGATTTCCTTTGTAGAAAAACAAGGCTCTTTCAAACCTCTCTCTCATGCTCAGATCGGTGCAAAATAGCTGTTAGTCACACTAACCCTTCCTTCTCAACCTCACAACAACAACCTTGGGCATCCTTCTCACAAGCAATATGCCGCCCGAACTGGGCCCCTCTGTCCACGAGACCCTCAGCGACTTTGAACAATCCAACATTATCCTGGTGGAATGGGAAACTCCTCTGCTGCGTCGGCTGGGCTACCCCCTCGCACCTAAGCCGGTATGTCTGACAAGATGCATCCCAATCCACATACATGACTGACCTTCTTCAACAGGACTTAGTATTCCTGGTCCCAGATGAACAACTCCAAGTAGCAAACGATATCGCCAAAGCCAGAGGCTTGCTGAACGACAACCACCCACCTTCCTACCTCTCTGAGCTTGCGGGCCAGGGCTTTCGCTATGTTTACGGCAACCCAAAGCGCCTCCTGATGCTAGCGCCTCTTTCTTGGACTGGCATCAAGAAGGAGGAGCTCATGGCTGTCGCGCCATCTGCGCGGCAACCCTCGTACACTACTTGGACAGTACCCTTGCCTGTTTTTTGTGTCGCCTATTTGCGCATTATAATGCAAGAGAGTGCTGGAAGCCGTGTTCGTGTCATGGCAATCGCAGATCTTTCGAGCGTCATCGCCTACAGCATGTTTGACATGGGCTACGAGGGGGACTGTATGCTCGGCCCAGAGGATGTTATTGATGAAGGTATAGAGATTCAAAGACACGTTGAAGAGGACATGGCGGCCAACAAAGACGCTCTGGACATGCAAAATGCTCTCAACAGCATACGAGAATGGCATTTTACCGAGGACGCTGAGTGGGCTAGAGGAACCTTGATCCAGTTGGTTTCTGGAACGTTACGGTATGAGGATTTACCGAGCAATGGACGACAGGGGGTTATGGATGAGGATGAGTAAGGAATAGGCAAAAATGACAATCATGTCTCGACATCTTTATAAACGATGATGCAATAAAACCGGCAATAACTTGCTCCGTTTGTTTTCTGGCTACCTTAGGCAAATACCTAAGCACTTGTGTTTTTCTCCTCGGCTTTCTTCTGAACACCGCATCACGGACCACAGCCTCAGCCCCTCGCCTTAACTTAGCACCGTCATCACATCACCTTTTCCTCACCCCCTTTGAGCCTTACTTACTTCAACTGCCTGAGGTGCTGCAACAACAAACAAGTCTACATCCTCCATCCCAGATCATTCAGTCATATGACGAGCGGCGCCCTCATATCCCCTCCCCACTTCGCCGTTACTCCCAAACATCTCCTTGCCATCACCTCCAATCAAACGTCACAATGTCGCTTTCAGGAGATTTCATGAAGCAGGCTGCCCAGACATTTTCGCGCATTCTCGCCGAGCATGGTATCGAGCATGCTTTTATCGGCGGTTTTGCCTTGAAGATGCTGGATCACCAGCGTGAAACTCTCGACATCGATGTCGAGGTTGGTGTGAGCAGCGCTGACGAGTTGAGGAGCCGTGTTACCAAGATCCTCTGCGACGCCGATCCACGTTTTGTTGTGTCCCACCTCAAGCTTTTCTTTGTCCCGAATGGAGATTGGGAGTCTCGAATTCCCGTTGAGACCCTTGCGCGAGGCGTGCTCAACTTACCCCGTCGACTGTCTATCCTTCGTCCAGGCGACGGTGAGTCTCTTTCTCTCCCATCATTAACACACTGGAACTAAAATCTGTGTTTGCAGGCTCCATCCCCATCCTCGAGCCTGGCGTTCTCATCCTCACCAAGATGAAGCGCTCAGCGCAATACATCGGAAGTACGCGACCCCAGTCGGTGAGCAAGTACAACTCCGACGTCCGAGACATTGTTCACCTGCTCCACTGGCTTCGAACAAACGAAAAGAAAGTCGACTTCATCGGCTACGACGCGGCATCGCCCCAGAGACTCTACGATGCAGTTCGGAAGATGCGGAGTCATTGGAGAACTACGGGCCAAAGCACCAATGTCCAGCTGCTGGATGATGCGCTCGAAGCAAACGACAAAGCTATCATCGTGGGCAACTAGCTAGATTGGCATCGAGGAGGAGCATTATGAGATACTCATCTCACATCATAATTGCTGACGACACGGCTGGCAGCAGAGTGGGTGTAGGTGTTGCGTCCACTTAGGGGAGTGGGCATGGACAAAAGGCTCAAAGATTGAGGTGCCATTGAGAAGCATTAAATTGACGATGTTCTTCGAAACTACACAGAAATCTTCTATCTACTTCTAGAAGCCCCTTCGCGAAGTGCATCTGCGTCACACGAAGGACTCAACACTTCTGGTATGGGTTAATGTCGCACAGAGAGACGTATGTGAAGAAATGACCAACTAAAGGGCTTCACCGCCAACCTTGTGCGACCTCTTTGCCTCCTGCTCTTCCTCAGATTTCTTCATCGGCCAGCAAACCCCTTGCGATGCCCTCTTTCTCTCGTCCACCGCCAAGATCCCAGCCATGAAATTCAACTTCAACGTTGATGACACCTGGGGAGAAGGAGAGGAGCACGGTGTGTCTCCAACTCGTGCCACTCAGGAACCTCGTCCAGAACCTACCCATGACACCAAGTCAGACCATGCCCACCAGCCGCAAGATCATGGCCCTCCACCAGCGCCGCCGACCGAGTCCAAGCCGGAGCCCCCTCCGCATCAAGATGAGGATTTCTCCAAGGGACAAGCAGCTGCCCGAGCACAGGGTACTGCCCTCACGGGCATCACCGACGGGGCTCACCGTGGATGGCGGCTATTCTGCTTCGTCATGCTCAGCAGCCCAGTGCAATATCTGCTGGGATTCTTTGTCATTCTGGCACTCCTCTGGGGTGTTCTTAAGGCTCTCCTCTTCACTTTCCCTACACTCATCGCAAACAATGCAATCTTGGGCTTTGTTGACCGCATCTCGACATACCAGTGGCTCACTAGAAGCGATCCCTACGACGGCCTACCCTCCCTGTCGTTCCCTCCATCCATCTTGAGCGACGAATCTGAGATTCTCCCCCATGTGCTCGAGGAAACATGGGTGGTACTCAGCGAGACGTTCCCGCACGAAAGCTATCATCTGAGAGCCGACTTTGAACGATCCCGAGCGCGAATCAATACACTCGAGAGCCTCACGCAGCAGGGCATCATGGAGCAGATCGAAGCGCGGGCGACGCGGGACTACCAGCAAATTCTTGCCCTCCTAGACGACCTCCCTGAGGCCTTGAACCAAGATGAGTCCACAACCGAATACCCTTGGTACAACCTTCGATCGGCCGCGTGGTACCGGATGCAGGAGGCGCTTCGATATCAAACAAGACTCAAGGCAGTTGTCGAGGCAGCCATCAAGGACACCAACGAGGAGGGGCTCACCATCTCGCACGCCCTGGAAGCCGCAGAAGGATATGGGTCGGGATCACAAAGGGCGGGTATCTGCCAGGCAGAGCCTGTTCTTCGCAAACTACCGGCATCGACATGGAAAGGCAGCGACCTGGCAGCGGCATGCGTCATGGCATGCAAAGCCGAGGATCAGGCTTCAGCTCGTTGGAAGAGAGTTGCAGTCACGGTCACCAACGTAAGTGCATGCATGGATATCACAACTCGGGCGGGGAAAGATACTGACTGACTCCTCCATGCAATGTAGTTTGAACACTTTCTCAAAAAGATTGTCAAGGACATCGAAGCCTTGTCTCGAGATACCGAACATGTCGATGCCACTCTCCGCCAGATTAAATACATCAGCATCCGCCTGAAGCGGAGATACGAAGAGTTTGCCAGTTGGAGAGACGCGGAGCAGTGGTAGCTGCATGTCCAACACAACACGACACGGGGGGCAGCTTGTGGATGATTGTTCTGGAGGCTCATTGTCCTGCATTGTCCTTTGGCGAACAATGGCAAACTGCCTCAACATTGAGGCAGATGCATCGCCGTTTCCGCGAGCATTGTGGAAGGGCAAGCTGCAGCTGTGGGAGTTGGTTTCCCCCTGCGCGAATGTAAACGATATGACATGACATGTGGTGTATTAAGGAGATGGATGTGTTCTTTCAAGGGTTTGCAGGCAGGCAGGAATTGACCAATGTAGATAGCACGTTTATCGATGCATTTCCCCTCTAGAGACATCTCTTGTTCATTTCCACCCATCCACCCATCCATCCATCTATCTATCTACACAGCGCCTGAACTTTCGCTCTCCTCCCCTACATCAAGTATTCTGACCATCCATCGCCGTAACCTCAAGTCGTCTGGTGATTATTCAACATGACAAGCCTCAGTACTCCCACCATCACCGTCTCATCGGATTCAGAGTCAGATTCTGGCCGCCCTCCTGTGCCTAGGCACTACACCGACAGAAACGTGAGTCATTCTTGCTTGTCCCTTCCACGCAACGTCTGACAGTTTCCTGGAAGTACATTCGTGGAAAGCACCTCGATGATTTAACCACCTGCTCTACTATAAGAATCGACTGGACCGACAGGGACCGACAGATCATGACCTCGCACCTCGCCCGACACGAGCTTCACAAGGGAGATTTGAAGAGTACATACATGGGCGAGCTTATGGACCGGTTGGGACTCTCCCAGTACGCAAGACTCGATACTTCATTGATGTACCAGTCAATATGCGTCAACAAGCTCCAAAGCGCACTCGAATACCGTCTCAAGCTACTCCATAAAGCTGGCCATGTATCGGCTACTTTCGTCCTTCCCTACCGGGCCAAGTGGAAGAGGTACACCCAAGCTTGGGGCAGCGATGACTGGAATGGCGACATGACTCCTCCCAGGTCACACACTGCCACGCCCACATCCATCTCGACTTTTTCCACGGTGGCCACTCCGACTCCTTCTCTAGGCCCTCCCCCAGACTTTCCAACTCTTTCCTTGACAACAGATGCCATATTGCATACACCAGAAGACCAGGATGTTGTCATGGAAGATGTACAGGACATACCTCAGTCCGGCCTCACTCAACAGCAGTGTGCCGAACATGCACAGGCGTTCCGACAACAGCTTCAACGCGAGACTCAGCAACAGCGGGCTCAGATACAGCAGGAGCAACAGAGACAGCAGGCTGCTATGGATCTACAACGGGCAAAGATCAAACAAGATGCCTGGGACGTTTATCAGGCCCGGAGGCGGCACGAGGCCCACGTTGAGGCACATGAGCAGACACAATCCCAGCCAGCCCCCCAGCCAGCCCCCCAGCCACCGGAGCGGGTGACAGGCCAGCAGGCTCTTGATGTTTCCTTTCATGCCATGCAGCAGGCCGAACTCCAGCGGGAATTCGAGCGACAGAGAGCCCAGATACAGAGGGAAAAAGATATCGCTCAAGCTGAAATTGCGCAACAACGGTTCGAGCTTCAGCAACAGAAGCAGTCATATGACGCCGATATTGAGCGAGGAAGATCCCAGCATGACATGCTTGAGAGGGAAACCCAGATGGCACAGGCTGCAATTGAACAAGCGCGGTCCCGGCTTCAACAAGAGAGGCAGATGAACCAGGCGGAGCTTGAGCGAGAACGATCACAGCTGGAACAACAAGCTCGAGAGTTTATGCAAGTCCAGAAGGAACAGTTTCAAGAGTACCTAGAGGCTCAGAAGCAGCAGCAGCAGTCGACCCGGCACCAACACCCGTCCCAACAAGAGCCATGGCAGAATCAACAACCGACTCAGCAACAACCTTCTCAACAGGAGTCTCTGCAACAGAAACCACCTCCAGCTCTTCCTCTACAGGAGCAGCCGGCACATCAACAACTGGCTGTGCCCCATGTTGAAATGAGCATATTATGTTATGTTGAAGAAGAAGAAAGACTAGCGCTAACCAGCGTAAGCTATAGACAAGAAGACATCCACATCCCAGCCACCAATGGATCGGAATAGTCATTGATCCGTCAAAATAACGGATCTCAATACTCCTACTCGAGCCATTGGTGCGAGATGTTTCTGCGTAATAGAGTGTGGCCTCATTAAAACCTTAAAAACACCTTCGTGGGTGAAAAATAGGAAAGAGCTTCTATTACCATACCTGCGTTGGATTGTTTGGTCACCGGGGCCTTAGCACCCTGGATCCCCTAGATTGTTTGATGATTTGATGTTTGTGAGGCGGATAGCCTTGAGTTTCTGGTCACTGGAGCCTTAGCACTCTAGATCTCCTACTCTATTCTAGGTTTATTTTTTATTTTTTTCGAAATAAATGTAGAGGATATTGATATTATCCTTTGTTGATATTGACGGCTGACTATGATAGTCGAACTGTCTTGTTTTCTTTGGCCGGATCTGATTAAGCAGGTTCTGTTGTATGTCTCGTAGGACTGTGGTTGTTAAGGCTGAAGAAGCTAATCTAGCGGCGTTTACTGCGTTTTTTGTGTTTTTGTATTTTTGTGTTTTTGTAGTTTTGTAGTTTTGTAGTTTTATAGTTTTATAGATCCTATGTGATCCGTTTCTGAATGAAATGGCTCTTATATGTATGTATTGAGCGTTTAGTTATAGCTGGAATTGTTGTAGAATTGTTGTAAGAAGCTGAGGAATTCCGAGCTGAGGACCTGTGGGTCGCTTGGAGGCTCGATGAACGAGATAGACTGTTGGGCACCCATTTTCTCCCACTTGGGGCATGATGAAAAGGGATAAAAGAAAAGAGAAATCGTGTGAACTTGATATAATAGACTTTCGATGCCGCTGCTTCTAAATCCTAAGTCGGTTTGTTGGTAGGTCACTTGGTTGTCGAGAGATCGCGGAGTGTCAGTTGGCCAGGTATTCCCGGCTACCTCCTTTTCTTATGACCCATACTTGCGTGACTAATAGCGAATCATGGGTTGGAGAGGCCCAGCGCGTTGCGAAATACGATGAAACGGTCTTTTAGAAGGGCTTTTGTAAGTCTATCTGCAATTTATTGCTCGGTTGGGGCATATTTGAGCTCAACGTCTCTATCTGAGACTCGTTCTCGAATGTAATGCCATTGAATATTAATGTGCTTAGTCCTGGCATGGAACTGTGGGTTTTTGGCCATTGCAATTGCCCCTTGATTGTCACCGTAGAGGATAGTTATTTGAAGGTCTCCATGTTTGTATTGGGCCAGAAGTTCGCGCAGTAACCCTCGTAGCCATATCGCTTCTTTGGTGCATTGTGTTTGTCCTATGTACTCCGCTTCGCAGGATGATAGTGCGACCGTTGGTTGTCGTTTGGAGTTCCAATTGATGGCGCCTGTGCCGACGTTGAAGACGTAGCCAGCCGTTGATCGTCTGGTGTCGTGATCGCCAGCCCAGTCTGAGTCGGTGTACCTAACTAACGGTCTGAGTGGTCCGCTGAAGGTGAGTTCTAAGTCGATTATCCCTCGCAAGTACCTCATGATGCGCTTGATGGCTTGGACGTGTTCGTTCGCTGGGTTTCCTAGATACCGGCTGCAGAGAGAGACGGCAAATGCGATGTCTGGGCGAGTGCTAAGCATGGCGTATATAAGTGAACTAATTGCTTTTGCGTACCATAGTTTCGTCGTTTTAGACGCTCTGTATTCGTCTGGGATGGGTTGGAATTTTGATGTGCTTAGGGGAGTTGTGACTGGCTTGCTCTCCCATATGTCAAATTCCCGTAGGACCTTCTCGATATATGCTCGTTGGGAGAGGAAGATGGCCTTGTTGCGTCTGTTTCTCCGGACGGACATTCCTAGATAGTACTGATACGGGCTAAGGTTAGTCATTTCGAATTTCTTACTTAAGGCGGCTTTGATTTGGCGGATTTCTTTCTTATCGGGGCTAGCGATTAGGAGATTATCTACGTAGACGGCGATGTAGGTTGTGCCATGGATGAAGATGCTAGCGTCGGCGTTGAGTGGCTTGAAGCCGAGGGTTTCTAGGAAATTAGATAGAGTCTGGTACTAGATTCGGGGAGATTGTTTGAGACCGTAGAGAGCTTTCCGCAGTCGGAAGACTCTGCCTGAGTTGTCGTCGAAACCCTGTGGCTGAGTTATGTAGATTTCTTCTTTGACGCTGCCGTAAAGGAAAGTAGTTTTGACATCTATCTGTTCTAGTTCAAGGTCTAAGGCCGCAGCGATAGCGAAGATTATTTTATAGCTTATCGGCTTGACCACGGAGGCAAATGTCTCGTGGTAGTCGATTCTATCTTTTTATTCGAAGCCTCTGACGACGAAGCGAGCTTTGAATCTGGTAATCTCGCTATCCTTTCCCCGTTTGAGCTTATATACCCATTTGCCTTGGAGCGTATGTTTTCCTGGAGGCAGGCTGACTGGTATGAAGGTGCCGTTTCTCCTTAAGGAGTCGATTTCGTTAATCATGGCTTGCATCTATTGTTCGCTATGAGGCGAGTTTATTGCTTCGGCAAAGGTTTTGGGTTCGGTCGGTTCAAGGTTGTTGGCGATTATAGCCAGATGAATGGCAATTATGTTGAAGCGCTATTGGTTTTGTTGAGCTGATGGGTCTTGTTGAGCTAGGACTGTGTATCTTGATGGAATTTGTCCTCTGGTTTCCCGTACTGGAAAATGTTGTTGGGGATGACCGTCGGCTGCTTCCGCGATGACTTGGTGTTCGTTGACCGCACTGTCGGGGCTTTGTGTTCTTTCTGGAGTCCCTAGTTCTATATGGAAGCTTAGCTCGTCTTGATTCGGTTGATAGGATTGGTTAGGGGCTGATTGTATCTCTTCGTCTGTTCTGATGTTTTTGGTTAGGGGTATAGTTGGAAGAGATGGTGTGAGATTTATCTGTTTTGCGTTGGGTTCGTTAGTTGGTTGCTCGGATGTAATTCGTTTTCTTAGCAGGGATTTCTTATCGAATACGACGTTGTTCGCAAAGAATATTCTTCTATTATCGTCGACTAAGGCGTAGTTTGTGCTCCCTTGATAGCCGAGGAGTCGGCAGGGGATTGTCTTGTCGTCTATCTTCTTCCGTTTGGCTGAAGGTATCTTTGCAAAGCCTCGGCTGCCGATAACTCGGAGATGGGAGAGATCCGGCACTTCCTTGTGCTATGCTTCATAAGGTGTGATTTGATGACCCGAGGCTGGTGAGAGGTTTCGTACGTATGCTATGGCTTTGAGGACGTACGGCTAGAATTTCTTTTCTAGTCCTGAATGGATGAGAGTCGTTGTGAGCTTCTCGAGTAGGATACGGTTTGCTACTTCGGCTACCCCGTTTTGTTTGTGCTGCTCGGTAGCAGAGAAGATCATCTTAATCATCTCGTTTTCGCAGTAGAGAGTGATTGTATTAGCTTGGTTTTCTCCCCCTCGATCGAGGCGAAGGTAACGGTAGCGACGGGTTGGTGTCTCGGCTTGTTCTAGAAGTTGTCGAAGGCAGTTGCCAAATTCGGACTTTTGCCTGATTGGGAAGACCTAGGTTATTTTGGTGAAATCGTCTATGAAGTAGGCCTAGTATCTATGGCCGTCGATGCCTTTGTCTGGGAAGGGGCTAGCGATATCGCTATGTAGGCTCTCTAGTGGTCGTGTTCCTTTTCGGATGTATCCGCGATGAGGCCTTTCCTTTATGCGCCCTTTTACGCACGCTTTATAGACGTTGGAGTTAGATAGATGAGTGATGCCCGTGGATATCTTTATGAGTCAATGTAAGTTCTGTTCACCCAAATGGCCGAGTCGGTTATGCCAGATCTGTAGTTTGGGGTCGCTGATGGAGTAGGCGGCTATAGCGGTGTGCAGTTGTTCGTTATCTTCGTCGATGACGTATAGACCGAATTTCCTAGTGGCGCTAAGGATGGCTTTACCGTGGTTTATAATGATAGCTCGTCTTTTTCGAAATAGAATAGTTGCTCTATCCTCCTTAAGGGCTGAGACTAAGATGAGGTTATAGTGAGCGCCTGGCACGTAAAGTGCCTTATGAAAGGTTATCGTTCCCTTGGTATTGTTCTGTCTGGTTTTGAGGGTGTATGCCCCTTGCCCCTTAGGCATAATGGCCGAGCTAGCTATGCCGTTGATGGCAGAGCCGGTGAATTTCTCGAGTGATGTAAAGTTCCGTCGGTGGCAGAACGTGTGGGAGGAGGCGCCACTGTCTAATACGTGGATTCGCTCTAGTAGTTTGGATGGTTCTGATGTAGCTAGACTAAACCGGGGTTGAAAGGATAGAAGGGCCGTGTTTAAGAAGGCGACGGCGGTAGTGTGATCCTCGTCGAGTTCTAGTGACGAGGTGTTCTCTTTTCTCTTCTTAAGCTTGGCTTCTCGTCGTCTACTCCGAAGTGCTCGTTTTCTTCTGAACTCCTTAAGAAGGTCGGGGTGTAGGCCAAAATATCCGGCCTTAGTATGACCTGGTTTATTGCAGTGGCCGCACGTCTGAGCCACTCGTTCTTTGCTAGGGCTATGCATTCTAGCTAGTAGAGCCGTTTGTGTCTTGGCCTTTTCTCGCTGTTGAATGTTTATTTCCTCTTGCTCTGCGGCGGCAAGAGCGATTTCGAATGTTACGGCAGGTTTGGTTACTTCTCCGTTAGAGCCTCGCTCGGGTAGTAAGTTGTGGTTTTGGTAGAAGGCAGTGAGGAATATTTCGTATTCGGGGCCAAGTCCGGTTAGGAACTTATTGATGAATTGAGGCATGCCGATTTTGCATGTCTCGTCTAGTTGCAAGAGTTCAGATTGAGCTTCTCGCAGCCGTTCTGCAAAGTTCATGACTCCCGAGTATTGGTCTAGGGTGAGGCAGTTGTATCGTCGGTCGAGCTCTTGGAAGACCGCACTTCCTTTTGGTTTGAAGCGCTTCTTAAGCTCATCGAATATCTCCGTGATGGTCTCCTTATCCTTTACCTGCTCCCTGGCGTTGTATCTAAGTCGATTGAGGATGGCTCCGCACGTGTGTTCCTGCTTGGAGAGCTAGTTGTCGATCTTTTCGACGGTCGTGGCACTGGTGCCGGTAGGTTTATCCTTGTTTCGTTTGAATAAGTCTCCGTATCCCGACATTGTGAGATGGTCTTTTATTTCTCGGCTCCAGTTGATCTATCCGGCTGTTGATTCTAGCTTCGGGATGTTGGCTAGGTTGCTAAGTGTTCTAGTCGATTCCTTCGAGGCCGATATGCTTGAGGATGGGTTCCTTGATGACTGGACGAGAGAAGGCGTAGGAAGAGTGTGAGGTAGGCTTAGGTGAATCTTCCCTTTTCGGTGTAGCGATGCCTCTTGCGAGCGTGAAGCTGGAGTTCTGATCGTTGTTGATGGTATCGGCAATGGGTGCGTTAGAACTCCCACTGGATGGAACGTGGATTTCTTCTGGTTCTGATGAGGCAATTGAGGCAGCTTTAAGGCTCTAAATGCTGGTTGAACTTGCGTCTGAAAGCGAGTCGTTGGTATCTAAGTGGATTGCCCTAGAACCTGTTGGAAGGACTGAGGGCTCACTTAGATCGTAGGATGTCGTATATTACCACTAGGTTTGTGCGACCGATGCGAAACGCGGCTCGGACCTTAGGTCGTGTATCCGGTTTCATCCGGTTTCACATGCGGTTTCACGTCCGGCTTGTCACATTAAGTGCTCTAATCCTAGAGAGGACCACTCGAAGATATAAGGTCTCAAAGGTCCTGTGCAATCTATCAACAGAATTCGATAGCGGAAAAGGTCGGTTTCTAGAGCGGTCTAGCTCTCAAATTATGGTCGTGTGAGGCCATTATAAGGCCGAGTCTCGAGTAAAAATTTGCGCAAGGATTTTGGTCGGGAGGCTGGTGACGGATGAAGCCGGGAGGTGTGCAAAATTAAGCGCTTGATTCCTAAATAAGGCGGCTAGTAGTATTCAGCGAAAATTCGGGTAAGGTGTGATGAGTATCTTTAACGCAGTAGAAGGAGGCGGTTAGACCTCGAGTTATATTGGAAATCATGATTAGGAGGATACTTAGCTGTAAGGTGGCTTTCCGGGCTCATAACCTGTTGAAATGAGCATATTATGTTATGTTGAAGAAGAAGAAAGACTAGCGCTAACCAGCGTAAGCTATAGATAAGAAGACATCCACATCCCAGCCACCAATGGATCGGAATAGTCATTGATCCGTCAAAACAACGGATCTCAACACCCCAAGCTTCTCAACAAGCGTCTGTTCGGCATCAACAGCCAGCCCAACAACAACCAGTTGTATCTGGATCTTCTCGACAGCAGTCTCTTGAGCACCAAAGGCAACCAAAAGAGCAACAACCGGCTGGGCAGCAATCTCTTCAACAGACACCGCGTCCGCAGGAGCTGCAGGAGCCCTCCTCTCTGCCCCCCGTACCTCCCAAGCAACCGCAGGATCCCATACCAGCTGAAGAGCCCAAGCCGAAGGGTTTCATACAGCAGCTCACGGGCCTCTTTCAGCAGATACCTCAGCAGCTGCCAAGTCTGTATCAAAAGAAGGACACAAATGCCAACATTGCGCGCTCGGAGTCGCATTCCACCTGGTGGAACCCAGACGAGACGGAAGTCGTATGCCAGGACTCGATATCATGTCGCGGGTCCAAAGGGGGATCCAGGATATTCATGGAGGAGGAAGAGCCCAGCGCTTCAGATCGGTACATGGCAAAGAAGAAGGGTGTGCCAGTCTCGACCATAGTAGCGGCCCGTCATAAACCAGCGCAAGAACCAAGTCTCCCTCGTTCCACATCTGAGAGGGCAACAGGGGTTCGCCCAGAGCCGGCACCTGCCACCACCGAGACTGCTCACACACGCAATTCTCTGGTGCCTGTGGCTCAGGTTCTGTCTCTGGACCATGAGCGATGGGTCCAAGATGTGATGACGCTTGCATGGGCGATCAGAGTCATGCGAATCACGACCTTTGCCTCTAGACGACCATCGCGTCTATCCTCGGCCGATTGACCGCCGATTTGCTGATTCGACGCTCTACACGTCGATTCAGTCGTCATGAACGATCAACTCCCCGCAACACGGCAAAATCGCGCGTACCGGGACGGAAGAGTCGACAGATACCTGAGATCTCTTCGGAATAGGTTCGCTGAAGGGCGCATCTGGCGCCAGGCGAACGCGCCTTCCAATCCGCGAAACGAGCCAATATTGAGGCATTACAATGCGACGGTCGATTTGATGGTCCTCCATCACATTCCTCTTCGCCTACTCTGGCAAGAACGAGGGATATTTGATAATGTTGTGGGCGATGCTTCGCCGAGATTGTCCGGCACGATTGCCGAGCGTATGCGCAAATGGTGAACGTGATAGAGAGGGAGGAAGGCCGGGACCCGGCCGTGGCCTGGATCTGGCCACAAGACAACACTGAATACAGTGATGAGCGACCGTTCGTTGGATCACCCGACGAAGCGGATGCTCTTGATACCCTCGGAGTCGACGAAGCCCCGTTGACGACTCATTCCCACACAGTGACATGGGGCGAGTTTGGTCTGGACACCAATTCAGATGGGTCCAACCTCCGACGCGATAGGCGTTCCCAAGGGAACAACCGTCGCCCTCGTCAGCCTGTTCAGCGGACCTTGTCACCGACGCCTGAACCACGTACCCCCGAGAGGGTACCTGTGAGAGCTCTTCCGGCAGCTCCACGTCGCGACCGGCATGCCCGGCCTGCCCCTTACCCCCGGCAGCCTAGCCCTCTGCTTCGGCAGGCACGTCCCCCTGCCCGCCGAGACCCATTCTCCGAAGACCCAGAACCTCCCGCTCCGAGACGACGGTTTCGGATTCCCTCGCCACTGACCCCGCCCCCGCCCCTGCCACCTAGGCAACCGGCGGACATCATCGACCTTGTGGGGGAGGATGACGAGGCGATTGACCATGTGGAGGAGGAGGGGGTGGTTGACCCTGTGGTGGAGGAGGAGGAGGAGGTAGCGGCTGGGGAGGTCGATGGGATGGCTGATCAGGACCCGGCCATCACCAATGGCTTCCTTGAACCTGGGCCGTCGCAGCCACCGGTCGAGACCAGGGACTCCCTAATACAACGGCTTGAAGAGCTTCGAGCCCGCCGTGATCCCCTCATGGAGGAGCTCGATAGCATCACCCAGGAAATTTCAGATGTACAAGCACAGCTTGAGGGCTGGGACAACTGATTGGCATGATATAAAAAGCTAGACGGGACACAAAACATGGAGTTTGGGTAAATGGACTGGGAGGATTGATTGGCATAGTGTACAGGAGATTAAAAATGGAGTTTGGGTGATGGGATTGGAGTTATCATGTACAGCGGGACATTGAAGATATGGTTGGGATATTTCTGGAGTTTAGGCAAATAAGAATATCGAGAATAGGCCTTCGCTGCCACTTGGATCCTACAATAAAAAGCAAACGGCTTCGGTGTATGCCAGACTTTGCCTAGACTGCACTTTCGAGTTAGCAGTCGAGATCTTGACGAGTTCCAAGTCTCCCCTGCCCTCAGCAACACCTCGATCGCGTCTTGACTGCGTCTGATGCTGGCGACATGCTTGAACGTGACGAGAACTGCCCATCCTCAGTCGGATGCGGCTATGAACGAGCATTCTTTGACGCCTGTATTGGCTCCTGACCCGTCCCTCGACTGAACCTTGAGGCTGATCAGGCTGATCTGAGCCAAGTCCCCCGCGACAATTATTTATCTGTGCTATATATTTCATTGCAGTTGCTCAAGGACTGAAGGGCCGCTCTGCTCTTTCGTACTACGCATAATAAGACAAATGAAGAGTTCCCCTCGAGTCTATTGACCAGGGGTACCCTTGGTGCCAGACTGGGCGGGGTTGTAGTCGGTGAAGAGAGTCACTCACGCTGGATATTTCTAAAATATGCTACCATAAGGTTGACCCCCAAGGAAGTTGTCGGCTCGTTTGCGAGATTGCCTGCTTCGAATGCGATTCAAACTGCAGGCATCGGCACTTGCCACTGGATTTCGGGGGAGGGGGAAGATCTCACGCAACCACGGCGGTCATGAAGCAAAAGGAACAGGTGCATGCCATTCCAGCAGAGATCAAGGCCTTGCAGGATAACCGCAGGGCATTTTCGGTACTCTATCAGGGGCACTGTATTAGTTTATTACTTACTGTAACGATGGAGTAATCCACATTGGTCTGCGTAGAGCTTGGTATTCATCGGAAACACCACATTAAATAGCCTGAGGACTTTACGGCGAGCTTTTTAAAGCTGGTTTGATCAAACGGTTCGCCGTGACGCTCGACAATGCACATCTTGAAAAGCAAGCAGGTCAACCCTCTGGAGACCATGTAAATGGATGGGCCAAATCATCATCCTCGCTCCTCGCTCCTCGCCAGAGCTTTGGAAGCTGCAGTTCATGTAACTACCAAGGTATGCTTCAAAGGCCATCTTTTGTCGAGATAAACAGTAGCTCCGGGCCAGTAACGTGCTCCTCACGCGTACTTGACCTTCGATCTACATACCATTCCGGAAAGCCCTTGATTGAGTGCTTATGCGACGCAGTCACTCGACTTTATCGCAAACCCCAAACTGCCAACCCTTTACACGTCACACTATTATTCGCAACCTACAAACTTTGCTCTGGCTGCCTTGGTAGCCGCCGAGGTCCCAGCTACTTGCGAAGCCAGGCGTATGGTGGACTGCCCCCCTGGGTGGAGGTTGTTGAGCACTACGTCAAGACGACGATTGATGTCGTGTCGATAACCGGTTCGGTAACTCCACGTTCCTCCTTGCCCAGATGGCTGAGAGGGTATTATTGCCGCCCAACTACAACACCAGATGGACCATAAGGTTAGAGGCGGCGGTATACTCATTGTCGGGGACGGTGCTGGGGGCTCTGTGGAAGGGGGTCGAGCCCGGCCGCCAAGTCCTCGGGAGGGTACTTGACGGGCAGGTCCACGGGATTACCAAGTCTCTATCGCGCTATTTCGATTCCCCCGAGGTCCAGGGCTCTGCAACGGTATATTTTTGACGTTTTAGGGGGGAGGAAAAAGTTATCAGATCGGTCGCTCAGGTGGTCACGTGGACATGTCACGTGGCCAGTCGGGTGATGAATGGTCGGCTGAACCGCAGTCGCCAAATCGGGTAAGGCGCAGGCGCACGTGACCTCCTTAACCGCCATCAATTCAATTCAATTGAATTCAATTAATCAATTCAATTTTGACAGTTCACAATTCAATCAGGCGAAAAAGGCGATCCAACTTGATTTGAGCGCAGCACTGCCGAGACCACCGCAGAAGCCATCAAAGAGGTCCGAGCACGACAAGCTCAAGAAACAAGACGTCACACACCAGAAAATGGGAAATGATACACAAGATCTAGGGCGTTAAAAACTAGACCATGGAGATCGTAGGACGTTGTCAGAGGCCAGCGAAGCCAATTTTAATGCCCAAGGCTTACATCTAGCTTGCAACGGCCTTCAAAGGCGGCTTGCAACAGCCCTCAAAGGCGGCTTGCAACGGCCCTCAAAGGCAGCTTGCAACGACCTTCAGGGCCAGTTTCAAGATCGCGATCAGGGTGACTGGGCAGGCGGTGGAGGGAAAGAAACGGGAGCGCGACGCGGCGGTTTCATGGGACATAAGTTGCTGGCTCTGGGAGATGGTGTAGTTTATGCCGTTTGAGAATTCAGCATCTGGACTACCTATCTTCAGGAGGCCCGAAGGAGGCCCAGACTCCCAACCAATTGGAATAGACTCTTGAACGCGCAAAATACCAGCCCCCCGAGTGCAACCCAACGCCGCATCGTTGGCGCCGTCGTGTGTCTTTATTCGTTCGGTTTCCCATTCTTGCATTTCTTCCAACACACCAATGAGAGCCAGATTTCCTCAGTAGGGCAGTTGCATTAGCCCATATGTTAGACTGCACACAAAGGAGGCGTCATCGCCATCGTCAAACAGGGTCTCGTGTCACTGAGTCCGACCACCAAAACAAACCATGCCTTTGTCATGCCTTTGTCCACCCCGGCATCGTACCTTGCCAACCACTTCAGGCAGGCCATTGACACCCAGCACGCCAGATGTGCTGGTTGCTGATGATGTTCGTTCAGTTGTGCCAGACCTCACTGGCCTTGGTGATGGCTGCGGCGTCCAGGCAGGCGAGAATGTGAGTGGCAAACGGCCTACATCAGAGATTTGGAGGACTGGTATGGCAACGCAGACGGCAGCAAGGTTGCCAGCCAGACTGAGACAATCGATCGTCGTGTTGACTGTGAGTGCTTTCAATGGCTTGATGGAGTTCGTCTCCAAATTGAACCCCCCCCGAGACCTGCTTCTACGACTCACAAAGTGGTGCAACTCAAAAGAGAATTCGGTGAGCTCGCTGATTGACCCGGTGTGGCTCTTGAAAAGAGTATTCCTCGCGCCTTTAGCCTCCCAAGAAGTTGCAAACCCACTTTGAAAGGGTCAAGGCCAGTCCGGATGGCGAGTACAGAGTTCGTCCTTCCAGATAGATATCGAGAAATCCGTAAAGATTTCAGCGTTGCCCCTGAATATCCATTTAAAAGCGCACATAGCCAGGACTTGCCCGAGCGATGTGGGATGCGGGATAAGCACCGCAGCCACAACTACTGACTCGGCACCTGACACGCAAAGAGCCCAGTTAACAAAGATGGCAAGTTTCTTGACGAACCACTGCAGAAATCTAATGTGAGAAAGGACTTGACATTGACAGGCTCGTTGGCTACCAAGGACGCTGTGTTGGGGTACGATGCCACAAGGGAAGTTCAATGCTGGGAACGCCGCAGCCTGCATTAGAGTGAGGGAAGAAGAAACAGGTTGGAGCCCTCGGTGTGGTAGCTGCGAATCTGTGAAATGAAGGCGTCTCGATTATGACGAGGTTTGCTGACGTTGGCATCCCTTTCGATTAGAAACTTGGCCGCTTCAACAGTGCTCTATAAGCGTTCACGTTCGCGGCTACCTCATCTTCGCCGCAGATGTCTGGAAACCTTGCGCTCAACATCCTTTCACATTGTCATATCGCCAAGTCTTGGTATACTCTCTTCAAGATCAGGGTTGATCCTGACGTAGCGTTGTTCTCAGTTCTTTGATGCTACAGAGCCAGATCTCAATGCCAAGATTCATGCCTCTATCAACCCAGTGTGCCCCCGAGATCTCCCCACAGCGGCACCGTCGGTAATAAGAAGCTTACTTCTTGATGCTGGAAACCCGAAAGCACAACTAGCCCAGAAACACCAGCCGTATTGACCTCCCGGCCCAGCTGCCTCACCATCAGTGCTCTTATACACCATATCAATCCACTAGATCTGCATATATACCGCCCGTCTCATCCTTTTGCTCGGTGCGCCATGTACCCAGTTCCTTTAGTATCGGCCGGCTGGTGCTCCTTGAGACGGATGGTCCTGCAGATGTCGACATGGCTGAATGCGATGCGATGCAATGTGATGACGGTATCGATGCTCGGCTCTGACCTCGAGGGCGGCGACAAGGAAGTATGGCATCCGAAACATAACACTATAGACGTGGGCTTGCGAACTACCTATTGAGGGACGAAGAGAAGGATGCTCCACTGCTGAGTTCCCACTGGCCTCAATTACCCGCAACAGTCTCTATAAGAGCCTTTATTAACCAAGGCACAGTAGCAAGACGACGACATGCTGCTTCATCACATTGTATAGATTTGGCGGAGCAGGCCGGCTACGAGTGGCCAAAGTTTTCTTGTTTCTTTGCCTTCTCCGCCTGAACAGGGCTCCAGCCAAGTTCCGAAACCATGACATGACAACACCGAGCGCCATGGCTACCTCCAAGATGTAGTCCGCGAGATCGTCTACGATGCTGGTAATCATCTCCAGGAGGCGAGTCTGAAGGCGAGCATGCTCAGGCTTGTTCTCCTTGAGGGCATCGAGCAGGAAGGCGTTGGACAGTATCTCCGAGGCAAAGGAACCCTCTCTGCCTGCGAGGTACATCGGCCGTGCATTATTTTTCATGTGTGCCGAAAGTCACACCTGTCGCGAAGTTATGCACCCAGCGTCATCGGACGGTCAGTCACGTGGGAACCAGCGGCCAAGAAAGTCACGTGACTGGCCAAGAAGGAATTGAAGCTATTCCCAGCCCATCAGCGCATCGGCTGGTGCGACTTTTGGTGTTTTTTTATTAACTTTGATGGCAGCCTTGTCAGCCTTCCACCTTTTGTGACGAAAGGATCAACCAAGACTGTCCCGTCAAATTTCTCTTTGGTGTGTTGGGACGAAATATGTTACCCTATACATTCAGAACACGGGCGGCAAACCACAACTGAGAAGCCAAGAGAAAGGGTATCGTGCTAGGACACCTGGCATAGACAGGCCAATCAAATAAAAGCATGATACGAGTCAAACGAATCGAACCGGCGGCAATCATGGCAGGCTTGTTCTCCTTGGCAAATGATGTCGAGTTCACCCGCAACATCTCACAGCCACCTCCCTCAGCCAAAGAGCCCCTCTTCGACGACGTCTGGCCAACCGCAACCCGCACCCGACCACCTGGCGATGGCCTCCAGCAGAGAGAGGCAAGCTAAACCGGTTCCAGACACGACACGCCTTCAGACTCGGGGTGACGCTGTCAAATGTCACTGCCCGTGATTACCTGACGCTCTCCTGCAAGGCAAAATGAGTCGACCTTCACTTCAAGTCATTGAAATAAGAATGTTCTTTATCACCGGTGCACTTCTCTCTTGTGCGTCATGGCTACTGTCGCTATGCTCATCGGATTGAGACATCTGGCTTTCCGGTTCGGGATTGAAACACTTTCGAGTTTCTGTGTGTACTGGGGAGTCTTGAGGTTCTCGACAACATGGTTTGGTGATTGAGACCTCTTAGTATTATAAGAGGAAGAGTGGCGGTTAGGTGAAACCAGAGAGTGGTCGGGGCTTGAAGACTCTCCGTTGGGAGACAACCCTGAGGGCCGAGGGCTAAGAAAAAGGTGGACCAATGAGCTTCTTATCTAATTTTGAGTTTAACCCTGGGGCTGATTCAGCCAAACCCCACATTAGGTAGTTACCAAAGACGGCCGATTACGCTTGGTCAAGGGCTCGAAAAGGGGGGTGGGGGTAGACTTCTGAGCAACCCAACGGAAATAACACAGCCAAAACGGCCGATTACGCATGACGACGACGGCGTGGTAATTAATTTTAGACGTCCCCGTCTGTTTGTTACGTTAAGCGGTTCTAAAATAGGAAACCGAGAAGCCTTGGCACTTGACAGCCAGCTTGCTTCACCCGCAACAAATAATCACCAGCAGGTACTGATGGTTTCATAAGAAGCTTCGTATTTAAGATATGTAGAACAGCAGAAAAGACTCCCAACTTGAAATGTTTATTTATTCCTTTAAACTCTTCTGTCAATTCTCTTTGTTCTACAATATGGTCACAGATCGAATGTCGTTCGACGACGACGGCGATGTTGTGTTCCAAGTCAATTGTCCAGACAAACTCGTCATTCTTCTGACAGTCTGTTCTCGGTCCCTGAGGAGAGTGTCGTCAGTATTCCGACAAATACTGTCCACAGAAACAGAGGGAGTCAAGAGTAGAGAGACAACAGCTGCCAAACGGATTATCAATCTCACAGCTGATAAACCTGAGGCACTCATCACATGCATGAATATTATACATGGGCACATGGACAAGATACCCAAGATTCTGTCCGTCGATTCCCTATACGAGCTCACAGTCCTGGCTGATTCTTACCATGTCTCGCATCTTTTGGCCCCCTGGATTCATACATGGATGGCGGGAATTGAGGACATCCTCAGAGACGCCAAATCGTTGCAGCCAAAGGCGCTGTGGATTACTTGGGAATTGGATCAAAAGGAAATGCTTGAGGTAACGGTCTCTCGGATGCTGGTCGAGTCCAGCGCTACCGACTTCAGTGAAGGTGCTGCCATTCACAAGATGCAGATGCCACCCTACATAATTAGTAAGTTAGGACAAAAAAAAAGGAATACTCGAATCCTGACCGTGTGTTAGAATACCTAATGACGGGCCGCAAAAGAACGATTGATTCATTGCTGAATCCGATCCGCAAGATACTCAACCGCATGCTTTCCCCAGATGAGGACCATCGATGGTGTCGTCATGCAACTTATATGGCTCCTCGCCTGTGTGAATCAATGGTGCTCGGGTCCCTCGCCTTTTCACTTGCACGAGTCTCGCTATGGCCATTACCCGAGACAGGGAAAATAGAATCAAGTGTTATCGACCTGTACGGGAAGCTCGTAGGACTATGCATCGAGGATATTGGAAGAGTAAAGGGTGAAGTGATGGTAGATCATCGACATTGTAACCCACAGTCGCATCTATTAGATGAGATTGAGAAGGCAATGTGCGAGAGGCCAGCTGGAATTGTTGAAATGATGACTAAAATCAAAAGGCCGTCCTAGGTCAAGGTTAACGGTAAAAACTATAGATGTACGCAGAGACTATGTATTATGCTTTTTTCGTCCATATTGACAAAGAGCAATTGTAACCCAGCTGGGCCGGGTTCATGGAGGAAGGGGGTGGCGAGAGCATCTGAGCCAGGACGAGGCTAACAGCCACGTTCCAGAGTTGAGAAAATGCACTGATTACGACAGCCCAGCAAACGGCGGGGTTGGCGATTAATGTAAAAGGTAGAAGTGTCAAGCTGAGCAAGGACTTGGTTTCGTTGACACCAGACCAAGGTTTCATTCTTACCACGAACGATTCCATCGTTGCCGATCCTCGGCAGCAGGTCTACACCCCAACCGCGCAGGCTGGTCACCGTCTGCCACATGTCTGGTTGGAGCGTGGCGGTAAATTACTGTCCACCCACGATCTGGCTGGTCCCGATGGTTCCATGCTTCTCATCATTGACGGAGAGGAGCCGAGCTGGGCTCAGGGGGCGCAAGAGGCAGCCAAATCTAGATCTATAACCTTACAGATAGCTCGGATTGTTAAACCGCTCCACAGAAAGCGAGGCGAAGAGTTTTGTGATATAAACCTGTGGTGGGCGCAGGCTCGAGGTGCCATAACAAGTGGCGGGCCTTCTGAGACGTGTAGTGGGGTATCATTGGAACACATAGGTAGTGAGGCTCAGGCCGTGGGATTTCGAGAGCTTGAAGCATCAATCTTGGACAGAATCTTAGTTGCGGGTGAGGAGAACAGGAGGAAGTTGAAGCCAGAACGCATCGCGGACCATTCGTCGATGTCTCGGTCGTGGCTGGAGCCGAACCCACTAATAAAGAGAAGGGGGGAAAAAAAGATGGAAAAGCGGATTCAACGAGAACCCCGTTCAGGTTTCGGGACCGAAGATCCTTGTAAGCCAAGTACGTAGGGCTAAGATTAACCCCACATGATGGTGTTTTATTTAGCCGCGAGTGGGCTGTGCTGATTTAAATTTGTACCCAGGCAAATCTTGATGCATCATCCGGTTTGTCATGGTGGAAAGCTCTCAGCCCGTTCGATTTCTTGACCTGGCCTGGACGTCGTAACAAAGTTTAGATCCTTGCACGCGCTTAGTAGCCTGTCCCGTCCCACAGAGAGTGTCGGTCATAGCGGAGGCAGATCGTGAAGCGCGCGTCTCGACTCCTGGGCACCCCTGAATTACAGCCTCCTCTCATGCATGGCATGTGGCAACCAGTCTTGTTACAAGCCCGCATTCTTCTTCCCTTGTTCAGGGGAAATATGATAGTCGGCCCATCTCCAAGGTATGGTTCCCGAACACCCCTTATCTCTTGACTCATGGTGCCAAAATTCCTCGCGTGATTTTGGACGACAAGTTCTGATGCTCTCCTTTCCTTTGGAAACCCCCTTTACTTCAGTACCCAATTTTAGCACAGGCATCCTATCCTGGTGCCCTAAGCCTGATACTGTCAGTAGGCTCCCTCCTGGCAACTCCCCGTTTCCGCCGTGTTCCGTCAGCGTCATAGCATGCTTGATTAGGAATCGATCTCACCACCACTTTTAATACCTCCATCAGCCTCAACAGTACGCGTCTATGCAATTGACGCGTCGCGCTTGAGATTGAACCTTTCATCCACAACATTTCACATCCCCGTCGAACCTCCACTATCCAGGCTGAGCAATTCCAGGTACCCTTGGCTCTGGATATCAGAGTGGTTATTCGTTACCTTGATCCCTCTCTGGCTAGGCTGTGTGTTGCCCAGTGAATTCAGCCATCCAACACGAGCTTCAACCTTGAAGCTATTCCACGTTTAGTCATACAAAGCACCGATTCTTTCCAAGCATGACTTGGCATTGAGTGAGTGTTGTTGTGGATGTCTCGGACTCGAGGGGCGGCATTTGTCAACGGCAAGACACATTCACTTCTATGAACATGCCATTAGTATATTAATCTATTAGCCTCAAGAATTTTAATGCTTGTGCTGATTATTCAACCCAATGTGAAACACAAAACTACTCGATTGACCCTGGTTAGTGAATTCTAGGAGAGCATACTATTTATTCTATGGCCTTATGAATCAAGCATCCAAATATCACCGAGCAGCTTATCAACAACAGCATGCCGTCACATTCCTCCGGTAAAAGCCCATTATGCCCAAAGGTGAGTTCATATCCCTAAAGGTCCTTTCTTTGCACAATTCGACTTCTCGAAGCCCTGGATCACTCAGCTGAGTCGTAAGCCTCCTGTTCAAGAAATCATCCATTCTCTTACGACTCATAAAATCAACACACTTACCGAACTTCGCCGCACCGAGCAGATAGCTGTCTCTTGCGAAAATGAATCCGATGCCCGCGCTTTCCAACAGCCTATGACTTTAGCGTGGAATTACTACGTTACTAGCAAGCAGTTCTTAATTGAACTTCAGGGCTTAACTTGCAACTATCCTTTCAGCGGCGACATAATAACAGATGCGCACTTACGCGTATAAAATGATCCTAATAGTAACCGGAGTTGGAACCTAGCGTGGCTATGCCTTGTGAAAATAAGAGATGATGGCCTATTGCTTCTATACGCAGCTATAGAGGCTTTGAAGCCTGAAATGTGGGGAGGAATAATGCCTACGCAGAACGACATTGATCAACTGGCTATGTGCTTTGAGCTGGAATGGCGGATGGCTGTGGAAATGATGTTGAGGCATTGGTCTACTCCTCCCACCTGGTGCTGATCCGCGCGTGGAAGTGTAGTTTCAGCACCCCCTTACTCCGTACAGAGTTAGGTTTGCCATACTGCTAGGGTCTATCGTATGTAGTCGAGATGAATGCCATCTGGTTCGCGGTTACTCTTGATTGAAATCTTCATGACCAGTGCCATGGTATTCATTCAGTTATGCATGGTTAACAGGCCAGCAAAGTCCCCATGCTATACTGACTTTTATTATAAGAGTCTCCTTGGGCGCTGGATCCCCGTAATCTGCATTGCGGCTCTTGATAGGCGAAATCTTTGCAACAGTCTCAAAGAGGGGCAAGAATCACCTTGATCGCCGTTACGGGTTCGGGGTGAGAATAGTTTTCCCCACAATCCGCGTAAGATCCATTGTCAACTAGGGTCGGAACCATCGTTTACGGAGTTTACGGCTCCGTCACGGATTCTACGCAAGACTAAGTACCCTAGTAGTCCCGTAATATCCGTAGCCGACTCGCGTAGCAAACCCCGTTTCCCTGTTTATGGGGATTCTGGGTATGGACAAGACCTCGTCCAGCCTTCGGAGCGCTCTGCAGCAATCAGGTGCCGGGCAACCGGTAATAACGTGTCGAGTTGCTTCCTGGCCTTGCCCTCCAGAGGAAATCTTGACTCAATGATGGCTTCAAAGTCTCGAATCAAGCTAATGGCGGCTGGATCTTCGGATAGGTTGATCAAGTGCAAGGAGCAGTCATCATGAGTGTCTATTGGGGTGTGATCTCGAACAGACACCAAGATTTCCAAGTGCGGCAGAGGTCTCTGACACAGACAGTGCCTACCACGAGCACCCACTCCCCGTGGCATTTCGTCCAGCGAAGAGACCTGAAACCCGGAAATGGCATCGAGGAGGCCGCTGCATACTTCCGCACCGAGCTCATCCAAGCCGTCGAGGAGAAGGAGTGGTATGTGTTTGGCTATTTCCCGAAGACTGGTGGCTGGAGGAAGTACTACGCCAGTGTCCCAGTGGCGCTGGTGCTGAAGTGTAGGCTCGATGTATCTCAGAAGAGATGGCTGGCCTGTAAGGGCTTGATACAGAAACAACCGAAGGACACTCTCTGAGCTGCTTGGGGGAGAGGTGAAATCGCCAAAGAAGGTCGCAACAGAGAAACATCGGCGAGATAGCTGCCAGGAGCCCTGGCTCGTCGAATCCTGCTCATCTTCGGGCACAGAAAGCGAGCTGGAAATAAACTTGATCAACGTGGACACGGTCAAACCCTGGATCGCCAGATGGGATGCACCTTTACCCATCGTCTGGGTCTGACAACATTTTTGACAGACCGGGAAGTATCATTAAAAGTCCACCAAGATGATGGGAGCAGGGAGCAGCACGACAACTCGTGTCGAGCTGAAGGCATCAACACGCCAACTTCACATGGTGAAAAATGGTTGGCGAGGGCCGGCTAGAGCCAGGAACAAAGTCCACTCATTGGTTGGGTGTGTGCCACGACAATCCGGCGCTGATTGGCTATTTTCCATTTCACGCCACCTCAGCGCCACAGCACCTCAAATTTTTCCTTGCACGACTCCTCGACTTCCATGGCGATGGCGTGTTGGAAGCACTCGACGCATTCGCAATCCTGATTGATGGCGTATGCAAATGGAACATACCGTATCTCTATCCCCGCATATCTTTGCCTTGTCAACTGCTTCATCGCTTCGGATACACTCAATCGTTGACCCTCTCCCAAGTACTGCCCGGCCATGAACCAGCCAGCGAGATACTGTGATATTCATATAGCGTTACCAAGATACCATGGCTCACACAACCAAGATAGTGGTATCAATATTGATTGGTATTCACAACTTGGAGATAGTGGAGCCTCAATGTTGCCTGGCTAGTCTGAACCGAGAAGGGCCTTACAAGTTGGAGCTAGAAGCCAATCTCAGGGTCATCCATGACAGGTCTCGTCCGTAGTGCCGCTTAGAATAAGGTTCCTGATCCACCTCTCGCAGCCCGCAAGCACGGGTGTTGCGGAGTTTCTTGCTGTAGGTAGAGCAGCTGCTCGAGCCAGGCCAATGCTGCAAGGTAAGCCCAAACTATTTGAACCGACTCCCCAGTAATCTTGTCGTTTGGAATGTTCAACAGGCGTTCTATCAAACAGCTAAATGACAGCTGGGATTCCCTGTAACAGAGACGATAAAACTGATGCTGATGATTGCCGATCTTTAATCTAATTTACTACTTGAAACTACCATTTTAGTTCTTTGTGATAGTCGCAACGACCTGCAGCTCTGGCCCTCCGACGTGTCCATTCTCTGACACGGGAGCAGGACTTTGCGACAAGGCAACTTGTCACGGCCTTCACAATTTACTCTCATCGTCTTCACAAAACAGCATGGTGGCCGTAACTGGTCAATCGGCCAAGTTCTCCAGGGTTGGTTCGTACCTGATTGCCAACAACAGACCAGCAGAGCCGCTTGCTTCCCTGTACATCTTGTCTGGTAGGCCAAATTAAACCAGAATAAATGAGAAGGGTTGAGCAGTGCCAAAAGAACCCCAAGGATCCAGTTCATTGGGTCTATCTAGGGGGTTTCCATTGTGCTAGCATTGGGATGTTGATACTATGGTGCATTGTAAATGTGTGCTTTGTTATAGTTGAATCCCGGGATCACTGAGCTAGAAGACTGAGCCTAGAGGGCGTCCAAGTTAGACTTTTCAACCTGCCGCCATTGTTTGATCCCCAGCACGTGAGTATGATGTTGAGATGGATCAAGGTCTACGATGACACGCACCAATGCTTCCTCCGAACACTTCTTGTCTCCTCATAAGTGTTATTGAGGTAGGCAGTGACGACTTCCGAGTTGTTCGACTCTTGTGTGACATCAAGCCATGAAAGAGGTGCATCTGCCAATCCATTGATGACTTTGGCAGGCATGGGGATTCGAGTAAGCTCAATGCGCAGGGCTGGGTGCCACAGCAACATGTTCCTTCACGGAAAACTGTTAACACATTCCTGACATACTGGGGGTGTGGAAAAGGTGCAAGGTGCGAGACCTTGACGCGAATGACAAACTTTGGCTCCATCACGAGGGGCCAGACCGACTATCAGTACGTAACGCATCTGTTTTAAACCGCCTTCGAGGTGTTGAGATATACCAAACGCGACTCACTTGGCGTTGGTGGACACAAAGGTTGTCGTCATCCATTGGGATGTTCCCAGTCTTAGGGTAATGAGATCCCGCACAGGCGCCAGAAGCTCAGGAGATGCTGCAGTATCTTCTTCATCTTGCTGAGTAGACTTTGAGCCACTGGACTCTCTAACCTTTAACTCAGGCCAGGTGGCATCAGTCTGCCAGCCCACACCATGTCCAGGGGCGTTAGTGTATTGAGTCTTACCCCCATATACCACCTATGGCTAGGAGGGAAATGGTCCACCCGAGACGGGGAAAATGAGCTACATTCCCTTTCGCGGCCATTGATATGGCAGACAGCGATGCATGAAACTTCCAAAATGCCGTACCCGGCTCTGTCGCTGAAGCTCTGGATCAACAATGGGTCCAGCCCCTTGCCGCAACAAGTTTATCTCCAGGTTGGGTCAGGGACATGTTCGAGGACGGCTCATCGAGGCCCTAAAAGAGCTAGGTCTTTTTCCCCCTCACATAATCTTCGGTAGAATGTGGCGAGCTTAAAGTCGCCAAGCAAGGACGCATTCTGGTCAAGATGATAATGTCAGAGGGACAAGCTGATCCCAAAGGGAGCCCAGTGGGGATGATGTGCAAGAGACTGGGCGTGGGGACCTTGAAGCGACAATATGTTGCTTCAATAACTGTGAGGGGTACAGAATGATACACATGAGGCAATGGGTAGATGTAAGTCGATATCAATTTAGAGAGCACTCTCTGGCGTCTTACAATCTGCCTCAAGCTCCGACTAGGACCTGGGACCTGGACCCGGAATTCTGGTCTCATCGTTCATCTAGGAGACTGTCTCCTCGGATCCTTCAATCCAAAGTCAAGGCTGCAGTCTGCTGTGGTTGTCAGTGCTTGCCCTCCTTCTGCGTCGCTGTATCCTTCGAACCATTCCGCTTGCCCTTCCCCATTCTTAATCTTGGGGTAATGATGCTGAAAACGCTACAGTCCGAAGCTCTTACCCTCAGGGCAGCATTGCCACAGGTACATGAATGGAAGAAGCCCTAGTGATGCGTCACTCCATCTAAACAAAGAGTTAAGTTGACCGCATGACACAGAGCCTACGTGACGCGAGCGATAACACGATGGATAGAAGCTCAATCGCCCGTATAAGAACCAGTGGACATCACTTATAGTGTATAAAAAGGGCCCCGAGGTGAGATAGCAGCATCATCAGTAACTTGGGACTGAGTTACAACTATCTTCATTACCCATCCCTCACATGCTCACCACAATCATATCCCGGACAACCCCATCCATTCTCCCAACGACAAAGAGTAGGGAGTTTTCTTTTTTATTATTGTCTTCGATTGAGAAAAAACCAAAGACCTTTCCAAACCTTCCCGGTGATGACATCTCTGACTTACAAGGGCTCGTGGTAGAACCAGGTGCGCCAAAGCCAGATCCTAGGGTTGGCCAAAAGGTCCACCGGCTGACGATTTCCATTAGCCCACAACGGTAGAGGACCAGTCCATCGTTCACGCAAGGCAGAGAAAAAAATGTATGTGAGAGGAAACTCGTATCAAGGACAAGCACAATATACACAGACCTGGGCACATTCCTCGCGGGTCGGGCTCGAGCTGGCCAGTCACGCCCTGGAGAAGGATAGGGAGAAGAGCTGCCAAGTTCGCATTACAGTCAACCTAGTGTTGAGGATACCAGGACATTTAGCTCTTGGAGCGGTGTTGGATGCACTATTCCTGTGTTGGTGGTCATTAACATGACTGAGATGCCCTTTCAGCGAATGGGGCATCCTATGGTTTTAGATTCTATCTCTTGCAGTAGGTTAGATTTTCTAACCAACTTTCTCTTCAATCAAGTACTCGGGTCAGTTCATGACTCTCACTGGGCATCCGTACCTCAGCTGTTCTATTTGATCGGCCAGGACCGAATTGCATACAGGAAACGAAAAGTGTGAAAGGGTCTGCGTTTTTCGAAGCTTTCGGTCCACCACATTTGATGGCTAATAATTTAGGGTTTTTAGGCTGTTAGTGCGGCAATCCCCGAAGCAATGACTTCATAACATTGGCTGCTGTTATTCTTTGGTGGTGATAGAAGGACGCCTGGGCCAGGAACTGGACGATTGATGACATTCCAGCAGGGCGGTGTTGTTGTGAGGAATCAATATAAAGCGATGGTCTGTGACCTTTGAGGGAATCTCGTAGTTATAAGTTTCTTTCCAGTCTTATGTCTCCTGCTTTGAATACACCAGGTACGTACTTAGAGGGATTGGTAGGTCCGCAAAAGTTGATGGGCCTGTTTCTTTGAGAACTGGACGGTGATGGACAGGCTCGCGTTATGAGCGCCAGGCTTGAGAGCTTATTCTTATACTCTGATATTGTTATCAATATTTTTGAGCCTCCTGTTTATATTCAAATGCTTCAGCAAGTCAAGACGCTTCTTTGTTGCCGGTGACGAAGCCCCTCCTTTCTTGGCAAGGAAGCTTCCCGGTTGCTGGGGCTGGTAAGGAAGCTTCCTGTCTGCTGTGAATGGTAAGGAAGCTTCCTGTCTGCTGCGAATGGTATGGAAGCTTCTTGGTTACTTAGTGAACAAGAGGTCAACGGTGCCAATGTTACGAACGATCGACAACCGGCACCCAGCAGAATCAAACAGCCTGTTGAGTGGATAGCGGCTGTAGACTATATCGTAACACAGGAACCCAAGAGATGAGAGTCGTCTTGAGGGCACGAGTCGACAGAAACCGTTCAATTCCTTTATCCTCCACATCTACCATACACCATTGCCTCCCGTGATGGGACTCTGCCAACGACTGTCGCCCATGCCACCCTCCTCTAGATCTATCTTACCATTCCCAGGACTTGTTGCAGCTAGTCCTTCTTTCTTCTCTCAAGAACATGCTGACACATTCTCTCCATCTCATTCTTCAGCTCCCGCCGACTGCTATCATCCACTTCCCCAGCTTTCATGACTCTTTCCAGGTTTGCACTCTTGTTCTTTAGCAATGTGAAGTGTCCGTCCAGCTCTTGAATCTTATCTTTGACCATCCCGGACTCTTCCTGGAGCCCGTTGCGCGCCGCGGCAATGATCTTGATGGTCATCACGAGGTTCGACCGGATTCCGGAGACTCGCGAAGCAATGCCCCTGGGAGCTATGTTCTTGATGGCATCGAGGTCGTGCACTGGGTCGCCCAAGAGAGTGCTGATGTCTTCCATATCCTCCAAGGCTGATCCGAGGCAGATGATGGTCGCATTGAGCTTCTGCTGCTGGGAAGGTATCGATTCAGTCATGCTGGAGGCTATTTCCAGAATCTCCCTGGGGTGCCATCTCTTTGCGCTAGCCTTTGCGCTAGAGAACGAGATCCAGCTAACCCATGACCAGGTTACCTCGGAGCCAGTGTCCCGTTTGTCCTCGTAGTCGGCCAAGGTCTCATTGTGGTCAAAGACTTGGTACATAAAATGCAGATCATCGTTTCTGAAGTTGCACTGTTCGTATCCTTTCATCATCTTGGCAAATCTGCTTTGACTCAAATGTATTTCGGCCGCGATTCGATCCAAGTCGGCAGAGAGATTGGCAGGAAGTGTTAGGGTACTCGCATGGGCTTGGCGTAAGATGTACGACTGAGAGGAAAGAGACTCAAGGACGCCGCCATGTCTCGGAGGGTCGAAGATGAGTGGTCGGCTGTTGGGACGGACGTGAAAATCTTGGCTCTGAGGGTCGCTCTGACTGCCAGAGAACCAGTAAACAAGAGAATGAATTGGAGCCATGGAAATGCCTGTAACGGCATAGAAGTCTGTAACGGCATAGAAGCCCCGGCTGAAGAAGCCGACAACTACAAGCCCCGTGACCAGCATCGTGAGAAAAGTGATAATGACCGGGTTTGCGCTGATCCATCCAAAACAGCGGAGAATGTTCCATAAACAGGAGAGAATGTTCCATATGACGCCGATGAGGATCTTGACTACCAGGCGAGGGGGACCAGACAAGGCCATCCACAAGTCAGCGAGTTGCGTCTGCGACAGGATGGGCTCTCAGGTCTCGGGCTTGTTGGTCTTGGAGGGCTTAGGCTCTGGTTGCTCTGAGTGCGGGCTTTTGGTATCGTAGGATGCTTTCCCGCGGTTGATTTCATCCTTGAGCCCAGCCATGCTTGGCTGCGGCCTTGGGTGAGCTTGGGAGTCATGATCATCTGGCTCTGGGCGAGTCTGGCGGCGAGGGCCAGGTCGATCCCACTGGGCTCGATTGGAGAACCTGGACCGAGACGAGCCTTTGGAGCTTGATCCAGCAGTGTCAGCCATGTTTGATATGTATTCTCAGAAACAAAACAGTTCGAGTGGAGTAGGATGGGCTGATGTGAAGTTGATGGAGCGAGAACTCTCCGTAAGAGCGAAGGTTAAAGAGATGAGAGGGTGGCTGTTTGGAGATGACCTGGGGGCCTCCAGCCTCCCCGTCTGAGCTCGGAGATGATAGCTCGCCAAGCGCTGACAAAGATGCATATCACCATGTACCTGGCCTAGACTTCAGCCATGCGGTTTTAGGCCCATTACAGATGGGCTCCAGGTGGCAGCATATCCGAGCCCCCTGCACTCTTGGCCCAGCCACATATGAAGTCACATGGATGGTTTCAACCTGAGGTAGAGGGCCAGCCGTTCTTTGTTCTCCACTCACCCCCCTGATCAACTCATTTCCTCCCCATATCTGGATCTCACCGAGAACATATGAGATTCACCTCACTAGAGCTTTTTGCACTCTTTGAATCCGCGCTCTACGTCAACATGGCTGTGCAAGGTCCTATCCCCACCTCAGAGTCTCTTCAGCTTGGTCACAACAAGGTCAATGAATTCTGGATGCGCAGATGTCGGCAAATCCAGCGTTATGCAACCCACTGTGATGCTTCCGGAGAACCAAGACCAAAACGTCTCACCGATAACCACATTCGTCTTGCCAAAAGAGTTTCGTCCCTTGACCAGACAGGCGAAGGTGAAGAGCAGTGGCCGGAAGGTTGGCCCACGGCAACAAACAGCTGGATATCGTTCTTCACGGCTTTCAAAAAAGCTAGCGCCGAGTGGACAAGTGCCCTTCCTGGAACTTCTGGGGGACCAGAGCCCGACAATTCCCAGCAACATAATCAACTGCAGGAGGCGGATACAGGTAGGTATATTCTGGTGATCTCTGGAGAAGCGTAGGTGCTGACTTGGCAGACCTTGAGTGCCAGGTTCCTCCTGAGGCCGAAGCTAGTCCCGAGGCTGCTGTTGACCCCGAGCATCCTGAATCTTTATTAGACTTTTCTCAAGACCCGGGACTGTCTCCTGACGCGGAGCGGCCAGTCCGGGTCGAGCCCAAGACGGTGGGCAAGGCTCAGTGCCCTAGCAAGTTCCAACACAATGATGCCGAGTATCCAAAGCCCAACTCTATGCCTGAAGAAGGTGAGTTCTGTCCCATCCTCACCAGCTCAGCCACTGACTGAACCAGGCCTGGGGCACAAGGAGTCGCCTACAACCAAATCAACCAAGCCTATTGGCCCTAGTATCTCGGCTGGACCCTCTGTCACTGCCGGTGAAAAGAAAGGAACGCAGCCATCACCACGAAACCTTTCACGTCGACCCAAGCCAGAAACCGTCGAGGCACTGGCTCTCCCTTCTACCTCCTTGGCCGACCTCAAGGAACGAGCCCCCAGGGTCCTCTCTTTGGCAGAATCTCCGCACCCAGGCTCTTCTCTAAGCCAAGGCCGTCGTTACTACTTTGACATGCAAAGAGAGAGGGATGGAGCAACCACTCAAGCGGATATCCCGGCACCATTCTCCTTGCCAAACATTCGTTACCGGGCGAGATCAGCTCAGCCTGAGCCAAGCATTGCCAGCATTGCTTCGACTCAGGCTCAGCCTATGCCACTCAAGTTTACACAGGCCATGACTTCAGTACAGAAGCGTAGAAGGGAGGCGAAGGCAGCAGGACGGTCACGTTTCATGTGATGGGTACTGGATGGACACTGGAGAGTGGGAGGATACATGGAGACTGCAGCTCGTCAAGTTGCGGGTAGGGGCTCAGTAAGGTGGTAATATTTGTGTTGGCTTTCTTTACTCGCATCTGTCTCTATCGAATACCGTTTCCATCATCCTTATGGATACCTCTCTGACTTGTTCAACTGCATTGATCGCTGATTGAGATCGGATAACTGGTGAGGGTAGAGCGAAACCCAATCCCTCATCTCCTTCCCGGCTATGTTGAATGCGTCCCGCAGTGCCTTGTACTGGCGCTCGATGGGTGGAAGACGGATGGGATGTCGGGGCAGGAGCTTCCTTAGGTTGGCTACCATGGCCCCCCAAGTCGATAATGCTCGAGAAGTGGCCCAGTCCCTCGTATCTAGTTCCATCCATGCCCACGTCGCCTGCCAGTGGTCTCCTTGTAGAACTGTGTCGTTTCTGACAAGCGACAGTTGCCGGATATGCCCTTCGTAGGGCATCTCGTAGCCACCATTGTGTTTATTCCCGCCCCTCAAGAAGCCGCCCAGGCTGAGACGGAGGGCATCGACCTGGCTGATTGACTGTCGTAGGCTGCCAGCTTGGTCACTGGCCAGTCGAGACGCATCTTCTGCTTCCAGAAGGAGTGGCGGCAGGCTATCAAACCAACCTGTCAAGCACATCTGTTTCTTGTTCTTGCGGTCGATAATAAGAGGCTTGAGGCGGGTCACGAGAGTGGTAATATGTGAGTTGAGCAATAGGGCCAAATCGCTGAAGTCGGATAGCTGAGACGCAAGCATCTCGAGGGAATACAGCTTAAGCTGGCTTCTTCGTATCGTCACCTCTTCGGTCTCAAAAGCCCTGTGGTTCTTCCTCCGGTATTGGCCACTCTTGGGGAGAGATGGATCAAGGACGCTAACTTTCTCGACCCATTCGGCGTAGCCAAGGGCGTTAAGTTCGGAAAGGTACTTGAATAGAACCAAGTCATCGTCTGAGCTCGTCTTGTTTCTGCTGCTCAGCTGGCGATGGAGCTTGGCCAGATGGGTTGCAATAGAGTAGATGGTCTCCACACTATCTTTGTGTGCCTGCTCAAGCCTGTGCATGATCTCCCGCGACATGACTCGCAGAGTCCTGGCCTCATCCAAGGTCGCCTCGCAGAAGCGTCCAAGCTCATCCATGCCCACTTCGTCCAGGGGATACAGCTTCCCAGGCGCGTCCTTGGGCGCGTCCGCCCATATTTCGTGGTCGTAGAGACCGCCAGCATCTGGCCAGTAGCGTTTGCGCTCTCGGATCCATTTCAAGGGGTAGTGGCAGAGATCTTGGATACCGTATTCGTAGACATACTTAAGCTCTGGGATGTACGAAGTGGGATGGCCGTAGGAAGTTGGAGGCGGGATGAAGCTACGAAGAGTCGAGGGGAGCTGAGCAATCGGCCGGTGGATGGGGAGAGGGACAGCCGAGGGCTGAGCCATGTAGCGGAGAAGGATGGCGATGAAGACGGAAACCAGAAGACAAAAAGTGATGAACTCAAGCGCGTTGACCAAGGCCAGGAATGGCCGAGGGCGTGGAGAGACCAGGGGTGCATCAGGTTCCGTGGTAGTTGGCCGTCGATAACGATACTGAGGCCAGCTATCGCGCCGGCGCCGAGGCCCAGCGGATGGTCCAGCCTTGGAGGTCATGGTGAGAGAGAATTATCAGTAAGTTCCAGGCGCTTTGGATATAGAGCTGTTGTAGCGGATAAGTTGAGATAGGAAAAAGGCGAGAATCACAGGACAAATAGGACACGTTTCGCAGATAGATGGAACAAAGAAGCGGTTTGCCCTGTTGACGCTCCTATCACCACACACACCTGGGCACACTACGGTGACTCCTCCAGTGCACGATGGATCAACATGAATTTTGTCTTGGCTCGCGTTTCATTGGGTGCCAATACCAAGAGGCTTGACGCAAGAGTTGCAATAGTTGGATGGGAAACCTATTGTTCACCACATCGGGCTGGCTTACGACGGGGGAAAAAACCAATCAAAGCCCTCTTCCTATTGTCATTGCTTATTCTCAAGCCTCATTGGGCGCTAACACCAAGAGGCTTGCCGCAGGCGTTGCAACGGTTGCGTGTGATTGGTCCAACTGGAACGTATTGTTCACCTCGTTGGGCCGCATCAGATGAGCGGAAGCTGACGGTGAGAGTGAAGACGGGCAGGGTACCTTGTTTCATGTCTCAGCTAGGTTCCTGCCATCCAGGCTCATCCGCCCTTCGTACATCCGCCCTTCGTATAAGTCGGTCAACTATCATGCTTGTCTCGTCCATCTCTACAATTTCCATCGTCTTTAGCAAGTCATCTCAACTCACAACAGAATGCCACCCCTCTTCTTCTTCGGTGCGTTGGCCGGAATCCTAGGTACTAGTGGTGGATTGTGGTGGTATGGAAGCAGTGCAACCCCCATAGCACCCCCGGTGTTTCTCAGTTCGTAACCTCTGGTCCTGCTCCCACGTCTGCTAACAACTCCAGGCACCATCTGTCCTCTCCAGCTGGAGATATACAACATCAGCCAGCGTCATCTCACCTTGTACCAGTTCTTGGGCATAAAGCCGAACGCAACGGAGGAGGAGCTCCTCATGACCTACCAGGCATACGCCCAAAAGCTCGACGCTGAGATCGGTACGTGCCTGGATAAGCTGGTGGACGACGACGGCCAACGCAAGGGCGACCAAGTGCCCAAGGCGTGCATCAGTGATGCCTACGCCAAGGCCGAGAAGAAGTCACAGCTGGTTGCCGACACGACTATCTTTCTTCTCGATGAAAATAACAAGAGCCAGTACAACATTTACTTTATGCCCTTGGTGTACCAGATACACATAGCTGAGGACAGTATTGATGAGAAATCGGACCTGGGCAAGTGGATGAAGGCAGCCGCGAACGTGGGAAAGCTGCAAGGCAGTGTCGATGATGTTTTCAAGAAGGTGTGCAAGGGGTTCATGGACGAGTGATGTGATGGTCGGATACTCTGGTCTTGCCCTTACCATGACGAATAAGGGCCTAAGGGTGATCAAGTGTTGAAGTGCAGTACCAGGCCGGTTGTGTGCGTGTGTGTGTGCGTGTGTGTGTGTGGTTGTTGTTGTCATCATAGGGATCAATGAAAGAGTTTACTACAGGGCTAAGCTCAATTCAAGTTTAGTCACCTTTTAAGGCGATTGAATTATAAACTGTCAAAATTGAATTAATGAGGCCATTCGGCAGTCTGAACTAAACTAATTGAGTTGACTTAATGGCGGTTGGGGGTCCCATGGTACATCCAGCCAGCAACATATCACAGCTTCAGCAACTGTTCAATCATGTCCAGCGACTCTTCTACCTCCATGTCCAAATCGCTCAGTCTCGAGTTGAAAATCGCATCGTACCGACCTGTCAGTGTCCTCCGGAGCGCAGGCTGTCGTTGGGGAGCGACCGTTGAAGCCGCAGTCGAACCTGTTGTTGGCGGAGCAGGCACATCGTCTTGGACAGGAACATGTCGGACTGCAGTGGACTGTGGCTGGGCTCGCCCCGTGTACATGGCATTGCCCGTCTTTGCCAGTGATGGAGATGCGAAGCGGGATGCTGCAAGGCCCAATGGAGCTGGCTTTCGGGCTGGTCAAGTCAGTGCATGGTCCAAGATGGCGACCAAAGCCAAAAATATACTCACCCAACTGTTGGACATCCCTGGAGGGAATCTTTGCTGTGGTAGCCAACCACTCAGCAACACGGTTGCTCGCCAAGTCGTCACATATTTTCCATCCTTGATCTGTCTTGACAAGGCCCCCCTTCTCAACAATGCGTCTGCGCTCCCTCATCATCAGAGCCCTCATCCTAGGCATGAAGACATCCCGAAACAGCTTCGTCTTGGAAGCCAGCCCGAGACGAGTGCTGAGCCAACCCTCAACGTGCGAAGGAAGCGGCTCTGAAAGGTTGGCAAGGGGAGCCAGTCCTTGGCCGCGAGCGAAAGACATGACAAGCATCGAGACGGTGGCGACGCGGCACGGCTCGCACCAGCGAATATCATCGGGATTGGTGTCGTCGATCTGAAATGGGGGTTTGAGGTAGAATGCCGCTGTTGGCTGGCCGCATATTGCCTGGACGAGTGATTAGAGAGGCACAGAGTTGAGTTGGTTGTGAAGGGGAAACTCACTTCTTCAGTCTTGTCGCACATTTTGCCATCGAGTTGAAGTGTTTGAGTGTGATGGATGGATTACCAGGTCAGCTTGGGTTCAGTCAAGTGCCTTGATAAGTTGCGTAGGTATGATCACGTAATCTCAGAAAAGATGACGGGGAGCGAGCTCAGAGAAAAACAAAATGTCGTCTGATTTGGTATGACCTTGTATGCAGTTACATATCAAGGTCAGCGGGAGCGACAGTGTCTATTTACAACAAGAAACCAGATCAGAAGTTTTGACCACCTGCCTCTTTATACCTCTCAACCAGCTCATCCTGCTTCCTGGTCAACTTCTCACCCTCCGCCTCCAGGGCCTTACGCGCAGCCTCATCAAGATCTGTGTCTAGCCTCTCATTAATCTCCAATATCCTCTTATTGGCCGCCGTCCACTGTTGCACCGAAGAGTTCTTGATCAGCCAAAGGTTCAAGTTGGGTGGAGCAACGCGGCCGCGCCTCTCGACAGCTTGCTTCTTCGCCTCGACCTGAGCCCGCTGAGGAATGTTCAGATCGCTCAGCGTCGTAGGGGCTTGGGAATCAATGTCAGAGATCTCACCCTGATACTCTCTCATCTGGCTCTTCAGCCATCGATACGCCTTCTCAGGGTCCTGCTCCCACTCGGCCAAGACGGCCTCCCCCAGGGATCCTGCCGAGAACTTGACGCTCGCCTCGGCGATGCCGACCATTATGCCGAGCCACGTCTCCATGAATACCTTCAGGCCGCTATGGTGCATGTTGCCCATCTCCCATAGGCAGCAGAGAAACCTGTCGATGGCTTTAGTGAGGGGTGCTCGGCCGTCGCCGATATTCAGGAGGGCCTCGTCGTAGTGGCTGGAGGCGACAGCCCAAAGAATGAAACCTTTGCACGAAGAGTGAAAGATGACCTTGATCGACGAATTTTCGGGGTGATCGAGGTAGTCACTCGTAGGGACACCACAGATGCGCTGGCCAGTCAGTCAAGGTTGGTTATGACATCTGAAAGGAGTACTTGCATGAGACGTGTTCGATGGACACATGCTTGCCGTTTATCAGGAGGGCCTGGGGAAGGCACCTTGAGTACAGGTGGCTCAGTGGCGAGAGGTGGACTTGCGAGTAGAGTATGAGAGGGAAAGCGGTGGAGTTGTCGGTGATAGGAGCCAGGATCTGGCCACGAGGCTTTTTACAAAAAGGAAAAAAGGTCAAATGACGTTTGTAAGCTTCATAATGGGTCATGAGGCGATATCTGGCGCGGCCAGGCTGACCCGTGAGATATATCAACGCTATGGCCCATTGGTGTGCCAGCTGAGAAGACGCCTGTAGCATCGTCGTCACTTGATTGGGTGGCCCAATTGCCTGAGGAATAGCTCAGGGGTTGATGGTTTATTATTGCTTTTCTTTCTTTTTTTCTTTTTTTTTCTTTTTTTACTCTGCCGCATTCAGGGGTCCGAAACTCTCTTCCGGACTCTGGGGCGCCACAAAACGCCAGTGTCTCTGTGCCTGGCCTCGTTTCTGGCTTGAGTGACACCTAGGTGCCCTGTCCGCTGGCTCTCACTCCTACCATGCCCAATGCACGGAACCACGCAATCCTACTATGAAAGCCTAGGCATGCTCAAGAGCATTCTATGGCATCACAAACAACAACACACCTCATTCGAGTCTACCCCCTCTTCGCCAGCCTTCGATACCCAATCTCGGTTGACCGGTCAGCGGGCTGCAGCCATGTCGAGCCCCCCTGCTACGTTGTTCCAATCACCGACAGTGACCTTTCGACAATAGCAATGACAATAGAAAAAGATTCATGCCAAGAGCAAAGGCCCTGCAGGGGGCTCCCGACCAACTGCAGTTGGGCTGTGTCAAGGAGACGGGCACCACCAATTCTTGCCCGCATTGACAATCCAAGCTTCAGAAGTGAGATAGCTGATGATCTCCGCCACAAGGCTCCAGCTGGCGAGACCTCTCAGCAGTGAAAGATGCTTCTGAAGGAGTTTCGAGCCGGCGAATCTAATGCCGGTCGTGGTTAGACCCTAATAGTCCTTGACTCAACGTCTTCAGTAGGTCTGGCGTGTCCACGGGGCCCAGCCACCTGCCGGGTCCCAGCGCTCGAGGTGGTGTAATTTGAAGACAAGTATTCTTCAAAGAGTGACTATTGTCTCACAGTAATAACAGTATCGAGCAATATTTTCCATCACCAAAGAATTAATCCGAACCCGCCGCATCCCCAACTAAATCCTACGTCTCCATGAACGCCTTCTTTTTCTCCACCAACTCTCTTACTGCTTGACAATAGGCGTTCAAAGACACTCGTGCCCGTCCTCCCGCCTCATCTCGTTGTCGTTGGAGCCTTTCAATCTCTCTCTGGTCTCCTGCTTGTCGAGCTCTGTTCAATTCAGCCGTCGCGACTAAAAGATCAACTTGGGCGCGTTCCTTGAGCTCCTAATACTCGATTGCGTGCGTTTCTGATTCTTGGACAGCGTCGTGTTGCTTCAAAAGTTTATTGAACAATGCCTCCAAAGCATCCAAATCCAAAGAGGCAGGGGGTTGCTCGGCACGAGGAGGACCGTTTGGGTTGGTTTGTAAGTCCGCTGTAACGCTTGTAATCTCAATGGCACTCGAAGTATCTATCACGACCGTCGGTGCAACAGTAGATGAACCGGACGGACCCGTAATAAGTCTTCCCGCCTCAGTGATAGCTTGTCTGGCCTGGGCACGCTCCGCATTGGCTGCCTTCCACCATCTGTATGCTGACTCGGCATTGAGGGTCCAGACTGTCTCTGCCATGGGAAGAAGACCAATCGCACCACCATCTTGCAGCTGGATGTTTGATGCGAGCTCCTTGGCCAGATGAAGTATAATTTTGCCCCAGCTACGTCGAAGCGGTTTGAGGCCTGGGAAGTTGAACCCAGGCCTCTCCCAGAGAGCTTGCTCGTAGTGAGGCAGAAATGAGCCATCTTGAAAGCCCTTTAAGCTCAGTCTGACATCTTCAGGTCTTGCCACGCCATTAGGAGCCACAAGACAGAAGAGCTCGAGGATGAGGCGGCCCTTACAGCCATGGCACACGAAGAGGCCCCTTCGTCTCGCATCTTGGTACTCGGCGATCTGTACGTTGCAAAGATGCTAAAGAACTGAGCCTATAGATATGATGACTGACAAGATAGAACATACCGTGTTTGAGTGGTGCCCGGGAGGGACAGCCATTCTGAGTTGGCAACTTGCCTTGAAGCGTCGAGACGTGAGGTTGAAGGCCAAGTAAGTGGAGGGGTAATGATGAGGAAGCTTCGAATGATTGGCAAGATGGCAGTAAGGAGAGAGGAGGGGTTTATATACGGTGAGTGGGAACCGGCAGTCATGGGCATGAAAAGAGCCCCTGGGTGGTAAGAGATCAAATCGGAGTCGGTGAATTGCCGTCTGACGGCACTGGGAGTGACAGGGGCCATGCCGATTCCCCTTTCTTTTTTGTCATGAGCAGGTAGTTGAGGCTGGGACTGACTCGTCCCCGGCGCCATTGGCTTTTCCCCAACACCCCTTTTCATCCAGGGTAGGTGGCTGAGGAAACTCCGAAACACCACCAGTCCGACACAAGACCCCAAGTTGGCAACCTCAAAGGTATTCCAAATAGCTGAATGGCGTGCGGCATGGGCAAGTTGATTGCTTTCTGGGACTAATATAATACCCTGTTTTGTTGCTCAGACTCTCATAAACGGGGCAGGTCGGTCACACGACCACGCCGAGCGAGAAATTGTTACCCACTTGTGTGGAAACAGAAGAAGGCCATTCATGACAGTGTTCGTTTCTCTGGTCTTCATGTTGCTCCTTGTCAGAAAGTAAGAACATGAATGGGATATAGAAACCCCCCTAATGACCAGCGTTGTCGAGGAGCTGCGCATCCGCCGAGATCCTCGCCATAACTGGGAAGCTTTGTCATTCGTGGTCAGGAAGCTTCCTTTCTCTTGGTCAGGAAGCTTCCTTTCTCTTGGCTAGGAAGCTTCCTTTCTCGCATGCTCTAAGGTCTCCACTTTTCACAGAAACTCCCAGTGCCGATCTGGCAAGTAAGGAGTCCAGGCAGATCATGCAATGCAGTTCATTCACCTCTGTAGCCTCAATTTCAGCATGTATAATATCCACCAGTAGTACTTGGCCCCTGGCGTAGGAGCAACTGGGAGACATTGGATGCGATGACCGAGTGGTCAGGGGTACAGTCAGCTTGCTTACATCGTTTTATGGCCGTGCACTCCAGCGGATGCGAGACTCCAGATGCGTCTCTTGTTTGCTCCCGACACGCTGCTTCGTACAAGGACATGGGCTAGCTGCGAAGATAGAAGCTATCATATACGGGTGGATCAGGCTAACATCGTCATGGCCAGGGGTAGCCCGGTGGGAGCCAGAAGTAGCATCGACTCCGGCAGGTACCCCTAATACTCGTATGGCCCTTGCGACCTAAATATTTAGGACCGATATTAAAGGGGCAATACTACGAGGTTACGACAACCAGGTTAGTTATACATGCTATTGATTCTAGTATACGTGGTGGATCATCGACTATTCCTTCGCACGATCTAGAATCGATCAGAAACGCATCTAAGTGCGGAAATAATAGAAGGGTTCACAAATTCACACAGTAGTAATCATTCAGAACAGTAGACTATTGGTTCTAACCGGGTACTTAAGTCCGAGCAAGCAGACATGCACCAAATAAAACCGAAGGAGGTCCCTCATTGGCTCATTAGCCAAGCTGCTTATCGTTGGGCTACGCGCCGCCACGTGGCTTTATATAAAATGTCGAAAAGTATTATAAAAGGGAAACCTAGGTTAAGCTTATTATTAATATAGGTAAAATAGTATTACTAAAGTAATAAAGAAGTAATTTAAGGCCTCGGTAATATAAGAGATAGTATAAGTATTAACGCTATAGTCTAAGCTACCTTAGTTATTTTTATAATAATTTTAATAAATAAAAAGATTAAATAATTATACTTAGTAATCTAGATAGGAATATATATAAATATAAGGTAAATATTAAAAATAGTAGCGCTTTTAATTTTAAACTTATCTTATTAGCTTAAAACGCGGATAAAAATAAATTAATTTACTTATTATATTACGGAGATATTAGCTTATGTCTTTGCGAGGCTATTAAAGGATTAAATATATAATTTCTAAGTAAGTAATAATAGGCCTTACTAAATAAGTCTATAATATTATAGGTATTAAATTTTATTCTTTATTTTATCTTATTTTTTTAAGACGCTAAGTATTAATAAAGGAAAGAAGCTATAAGTTTTATATATTAATACCTTTATAATATATTAATATTAATAGAGAATAATCTAATATTAAAGGTATAAAAGGCTTTATTTAAAGAAGCTTTAGCTTTAAGAAGAGTTTTATCTTATAGGAAAACCTTAAGCTATTCTAAATTATTTATTATAAGAGATACTATATAACTATTATCTACCTCTAATTATTCCTTAATAATAATAACTAAGCATAGCCTAATATTAAAGTTATAATTATTATTATTAATTATATATTAGATGACCTAAGATACTAAGAAATCGCTTAAAGTATTAATAGAGGGGAAGCTAAAAGAAAGAAGATAAATTATATTAAAAAACGGGCTAAAAAGTCTATTATATATAGGTACTAGAGAATATAATATTAAGGAACTTAGGTTTAATTAAATAATATCCTTATAGCTATATTTATTTATATTAATATCTTATAGTCTAGGTAAGTAAAAGGTAAGAATAGATTACTTATATAAGCCTCTATTATTTATTAATCTCTTGGGAAAGAGTTATAGATATATATCGCTGTTATTTAATCCTAGGGATTTAAGATATTCCTATAGGCTATAGGAAGATATATTTCTAATAAATAGAAGTAACTAAGAGATTAAATTATCTTATAAGGTAGATAATATTTTAAATAATAATAAAATAAGATAAGAAGTAATTATATAAGCTTATTTTCTAAAAGTAATTAAATTATTATTTATTATATATTGCTTAGAAAGGTATAGTATACAAAGTAATATATTATATTATAAGACTAGGGTATAATATAAGGATTAATATAGCTAAAGAAAGGTAGGAAAATAATATAGGTTCTTAATATAGCTATATATAAGGAGCTAAAGTTAAGGTAATTAAAGGAGTAATAAGGTAATTATTAAGAAAGAACCTAAATAATTAGCTACTTATATTAGCTTAAATTAAAATAAGTAAATAATACAAAACTAAGATAAAATAAGTCTATATTATTTTTTTAGATATAATTAAAGTAATATAATTATCTAAGAATAATTTTAGCTATAATTATTATAATTATAAATATCTAGGCGATATAAAGGAATAAAGAAATAAAGGAATAAAGGAACATATAGCTAGTAATAAAATTAATTCTATCTATAAGCTTAATTATTATTACCCCGATCTATATATATTATAATAGTCTTAAGTAATATACTTTATAAGTAATCTCTTATTTCTTTTTATAATTAATTTTATATTTAAGTAGGTATTAATTTAGGTCTAGCGCGATTTAGCTATTAATAAACTATTATCCTAAGGTATAGCTATAATTCCTAGAACCTCTAAGGCTATCGCAAGTATTATAGGTCTCTAAGTAATTAAACTTTATAGATTTTCTATTATTAATATTAAGCTAGCTTACTTTAGGGTTAAATCTTTAGCTTTAGGAATAAAGAGATAGGTATAAGCTAGAGTAATAATATAGAGCTTACCCTATAGGAAGAATACTACTAATTATTTATCTTTATAAGTCTACCTAATTATATATAGAGAGACTACTATAATAATAAGCTATTATAGCTACTAAGCGGCTATATTAATTTTAATAAAGCTAGATTAAGTTTTAAAAGGGAATATCTCGCCTATAACCACTTATAAAGCTAGTCCCTAGGTTAAGGTAAATAAAAAGACTATAATAGCTATAGTAATAAGCTATGCCTTTATTATAGATTTTTTATTAGCTTCTTAATAATTACCCTTTATTATTCCCTCTTAATATATATTATTAAGTCTAATAATAATACTAATAATAGCTATAAAGAAATAAAAAATAATTAAACCTAAAGTACCTATAATAAAGACTTAATAGCGCCTAAAGTAATTAATAATTTAAAGTAATAAAGGCATAAAGTAAATATTAATAAGTACTAAAATAAAAATAATAAGAAATAAATTATTAATAATATTAATAGATTTAAGAATATAGGTTATATAATATAATATAAATATAATACTAGATTTATACTTTATTAATATATAATATAATAGAGAGTTAAGAGTTATATTACTCTTATAGTATTTATATTATAATACTAACTATTAATAAATAGATATAGCCGCTATTAATATTTTACCTATAAAATTATTTACTATAAGTCTTTATTTAGCCTTAGATTATTTTTTTATTTAATTAATAATAATAAGTCTTAAATATAATCTTAGAGAATTTACCCTATAGGTTATAATTAGTTTTATTAAGCCCGCGTAATTAGCTTAAATATCTAAGCGATTATATTATTTAGCGCTTATATATAAAATATCTAGGAGATTCTAAGAGAAGATATACCTTAACTAAGAGAATTATTAGCTAAAGGAATTAAAGATTAATAAAGATATAATATATACTATTATTATTATAGCTATTAATTATATAGATAATAATAAAGGTAATTAGGTAGTTAATAGTAATATACTACTAGAAGCTACTAATATAAGCTCTATAGGTTTTATAGGAATATTAAAGACTAAGTTAAATAATAAATTAGCTAATATAAATAAGCGGGATAAAATAATAAATAAAATTTATTAAATAAAATATAAGAATAATATAAATACTTAACTCATAGTTTCTAATATATAGATAATAACTATTATTAAGATAGCTCTAATATTAAGCTTAGTAAAAAAGTAGCTTATAATAATAATTCTATAAGTACTTAATAACTAAATACTAATTATTATTTAGATAATAATTATAGCTAAGTAAAAAATACTTCTATAGATAATTATTATTTAATAATCTATGTAATTAGCACTAAATCTATTATTAATAAAGCTAAGAAAGGCGCTATAAAAAAAGATTAAAATAATAAATATAGTATTACTATTAGTAAGACTTAATAAGTTATTACCTTATATTTAATATATAAAAGCTCTAAAATAAAT